CCGGCAAGGCCCTGAATTCAACCCCCAGGAACAGCTAAAAAGATAAATAAGCCGGGCGCTGGTGGCTCACACCTGTAATCCTAGCTACTCAGGAGGCTGAGATCTGAGGATCGTGGTTCAAAGCCAGCCCGGGCAGGAGAGACCGTGAGACTCCTATCTCCAATAAACCACCACAAAACCAGAAGTGGCGCTGTAGCTCAAGTGGTAGAGTGCTCTCCTTGAGCTGAAGAGCTGAGGGACTGTACCCAGGCCCAGAGTTCAAGCCCCACAACCGACCAAAAGAAAAAAAAAAAGATAAATAAAAGCAGAACTTGTCTCAGACAAAGAACTTCTATCAGGCACTAACATTTTTAGAAAAAACAATTCATTATTGGCTTACTGACAAATCATTTCTGACAAATCATTTTCCAGAATTCTTTTAAGTTCAAAAAGTGTGTGCCATTTAGAGAAATACACTAGGCAAATCATGTTCTTTTGAAAGTGAATATCACAAAAGGCATGGAATCATATACATGAATGATTGATGTGTGGGTTGTGTCATCCACTTTTATATGAAGCCCTGGAGGCTATGAGGAAAATATGAGCTTCAAGATATTTATATGTTTAAAGATCCATTACAACTATGTTCTTACATTTATAGAAGAGAAGGTGAAAGAAGGCTTCCACTGTAAGTGGAGCAGTTCATGGCTATCCCGCTATTGGGAGATGCAGCTACCCTTTTGAGTACCACAAGGTTATTCCTAATTTTTAAAATACTATCTCAAAGTTGAATCTTGGATTATTCCATCCTAGTGGAGACGAGTGTATGGCTGCAATTTGGGTGACTGGTCATATAGCCCCCTCATTTAACCCTCACATTAACCCCATCCCAGTGCTGCCTGTGGTGACTGCAGCACTGGCTCTGCGTCTCCTCCTGTCTTAACGTGGGTGGTAGAGGATGGTAGGCAAGCCATCTGTTATTGCACCCTGTCTTTCTGATCTTCTTGCTCACAGTAACAGGTTCCATTAAAGTGACTGGCTCAGGTCCAGGGGCTGAGACAAGCCATGTGATTTTATCACAGCTCTATGCATATCTGTTGTCTTTCACATCAATGGCAACTTAATATTTTTTTTTCTGAATGCCCCATTTTACAGATCATTGCCTTTACACATACACATCTTATGAAGCAAGAACAGATTCTATTTACAAATTCTGGCTTGAGCTTGTTAAAGGATTTAGTTCATTCTATAAACATAACCAAGAAAAGCATTTTTTACATTAAAAACTCTAAATTCCAGTGGTCAAAATGGCTCATTTGAGTTAAGTGTGTACTAAAGATTATAAAACCCATAGGCTTCAGGGTTTTAATTTCTCATCTTAACAGATGGAATTAACACAAACATAACAAAGTTAACATTATGGTTGTTTGCATTATTAATCTTCAAATGCATGGCATTCTGCTACCTTGCTAGCCAGGTTTGTATGAGTCCTTTCATGGCAGCATATGTCAACAGAAATGTGCTTCCATCTGTTGCCGGATAGCTTGATGGCTGATATTTCGAGACAAGGCCCAGCACAATACGTACCTCTGTGAGTAATTACAGGTGTGTGATGAGGAGCCCAGGGCATTAATCAGGCTTAATTATATATATTTTTTAAGGAAGAAAAAAAGGTGGATCTTTTGTTCCACTCTTGGAGCATGAGTTTACTACACACTTTCTAAACTGCAGCATCCATCTGCTCAGTCCCTTAGAATATTTGCCTTGGCTGATACTGACCCTGAAGTATGTCACAGGACGTGATTAAAGCAGGTTTAAACATTAACTGGGAAGAAATATGGTTCAGGTTTTTCTTCCCTTCCTTCCTTCCTCCCTTTTATTTGCCTACCTGTCTGTTTTTGGCATAGGATAAACTCCACTAAAATGCCCAAACTTTAAATTAGTACTTGCTAAACTACTTACCCTATGCAAATTCTAATAGATTAAGCATTCTAGAGTCATTTTAAGAATATAAATAGTGTGATTTATAGAAATTAAGTGAGTCAGCTTGGGGGAAAAATGTCTTCTGAACATTTAAAAAATGTACTTCAAGGTTAGTTGTTAAATGAAGTTTTACTATATAAAATCATTAAACCAACATAAGAATTGAGCATGTTGCCTCTACTTTATTCTAATTCAATTATTTCTATCAGAATTTAAAAAATTCATTATTGTTATTACAAAGATGATCTTCAGAGGGATTATAGTTATATAAGTCAGTTAAAGAGTACATTTATTTTTGACAATGTCACCTCTTCCTTTGCTCTCTCCCAGATTTTCCCTTCTACCCTCTCCTACAAGTTGTATAGTTCATAGTGTCTAGTAAATACCATTGCTGCATTTGTCAGAATTATTTTTTACTGATTTTTCATCTATAGGCACTAAAAACTAAGAAGGCAGAGGTTGTGTTTTATTACTTGGAGTTATTATTTCTGAATGTTCATAACTACAAGTCACATAACTATAATACATTAGTGTGGTTGATTAATGTGTGCCTGATTAAAAACTTCATACAAAAAAGGTCATTTTTTTCTCCCTAAAGACTTACTAAATACACATAAACACACATATGCATGCTCACACATGTGTGTATACACACCACTCACTTCACTCACCTACTCACTCCTCACTCACATATGGCTTTTCAGGTATGGCTTGGCCATGATGGTGTGAACATTGTCTAGTGGTCAGCGTTGACCAAGGCAGGCAGGAAGTTACTGTTTCAAAACAGAGCTGGTAATTAAGGGAATAGCCATCCATCAAGAAGAGGCCATTACAGAAGGACATGAGATTTGTAGGCCAATGATGCTACTATTGCACTGTGTATTTGCACCTTGCTATCACATCTGTGCTCAGATCCATACAACTCCTTATTGTAGCACAACATCATTTGGGCCCGCCCTACAGTCCCATTTCTTGGTGCATAAAATTACCTGAAGAGTTATGATTTTCACCTCTACACCTGCATTAAGACTTTCTAAATGAAACACTGCTTTTATTTCTGAAGATGGAAGGCTAAAGACAGAACATATGCTTATACTTTAGTGACAGATATTTGAAGGTTTTATTTTTTTTTACTGTAAAGATACTGTGCAGAGGGTTACAGTTACATGAGTAAGATAATGAGTACATTTCCTCTTGAGCATTGTTACCCCTTCCTTTGTTTATCCCCAGCCGTCCCTTCCCTCCCCACATCTCCAACTCCTCCCTTCCCCCACCCTGAAGTTGTAAAGATCCCTTTTAACATAGTGTTTTGTACATCTCATTGTTACAATGGGCCAGCCTGTATCCATTTTAGCATTTTGTTATTTCCCTTCCCCTCCCCAAATTAGAAAAATGCATATGCAAGATGCAGGGTACCAGAATCAAATACCCAGTGAAAACGGGGTTATACCTTGGGGGAAGAACATATGAAAGAAACAAAAGAAATCACATAGTACATTATAAGTGCATTAAAAACAACAGCAACAAAGATAAAACCTCTTGTGTCTCTATCTTAGGGTTCATTTCCCTTAGCACCATCTTATATGGTCATATATGCATGGCTTGACCTTTTCTATTTGTCCGGTTAGATTATCCTAGACATATACTAGTTGCAAATAAGGGAAACCATGGGACCTATGTTTCTTTGGGTCTGGCTTACTTCACTAAGTGTAATTTTTTCCAAGTCTTTCCATTTCCTAACAAATGGAGTGGTGTCATTCTTCCTGATGGAGTAATAGAATTCCATTTATTTATATTTATATTTATCACACATACACACACACACATCACATTTTCTTGATCCATTCATCTACTGAGGGTCATCTGGGTTGGTTCTATATCTTAGCTATGGAGAATAATGCTGCAATAAACATAGTTGTGCTGGTAGCTTTAGTATGGCCTTGTTTGTGATTGTTTGGGTAAATGCCCAAAAGTGGGATTGCTGGGTCATAGGGGAGCTCTCTTTGTAGTCTTTTGAGGAACATCCATACTGCTTTCCAATGTGGTTGAACAAGTTTACACTCCCACCAACAATATACTTGTAGAAAACTAAAGCTGCCTCCTTAAATATCACCCTGCACCAGAATCAACTCCAAATGAATCAAAGACTTGGAAGTCAAAGCAGACACCCTGAAAACATTACAGGAAGGAATAGGAGAAACTCTAGGGCTCCTTGGCACAGGCCAAAATTTTCTTAATAAAGACCCAGAAACACAACAAATCAAAGAAAGGTTGGACAAATGGGATTGCATGAAACTGCAGAGCTTCTGCATGGCAAAGGACATAGCTAACAAAATCAATAGAAAGCTCATGGATTGGGAGAAGATCTTTACTAGCCATACAACAGACAAGGGTCTCATATCTAAAATATACTTAGAACTCAAAAAACTAAATCCCTCAACAACAAATCTTCAAAGAAACAACTGCCTGATAAATAAGTGGGGTAAAGACAGAGAAACTTCTCTGAAGAGGAAATAAGAATGGCCAATAGACACATGAAGGAAGAAATGCTCAACTTCTCTAGCCATAAAAGAAATGCAAATCAAAACCACATGGAGATGCCACCTCACCCCAGTTAGAATGACTATAATCAAGAACTCTAATAACAACAGATGCTGAAGGGGATATGGCCAAAAGGGAACCCTACTGCATTGTTGGTGGGACTGTAAACTTGTTCAGCCACTCTGAAGGTGGAACCCACCTTTAAGTGGGATAGGGAAGAAAGTGTTGTCTCAATGTTGCAGTTTAGTCTTTCAATAATCTTACATTTTGGAGTGTCCATTCTCTTATATAAATGAGCACAAGATTGTAACTCATCTGTCTATACCTTGTCACCAAAAATTTTCTGCCATCTTTGTTCCTTTCAAGTGTTGTACAGTGGTCATATGTATATATAAACTTTTGAAATTTTGTTTTTAAAAATTGCAGTGGTCCCCTTGATATCACCTTTACAATTAAATTAAAAAAATTTCAGTGCAGCTTTTGTTCTTCTTTTTTAGGATATCTTAAACACCATCATAAGGCACTGTCCGACTCGCTTTTTCTCCCTGGGTTTGCCCGGCTTCTCAATGCTGGTGGGGGACTTCATCACGGCTGCTGCTAGGGTCCTCAGTACAGACATGTTGGCGGTGAGTATGACAATGCTCACACCCAGGCTCCCAGGAGGCTTCACAATCGCTAACAAGGTTCAGATTTCTCCACTCTTAACAGGTGTTGACTCATTAGTGCAACGTGAGACTGGGCTCTCAGGGTAGATACCCTGGCAGCTGATGTGTGAAATTGTAGAATAAGATGACACACTAGTACTGGAAAGGCGTTTCATCAAAAGGCCATAGTGTGAGAAATCATATCCCCACTAATATTGTAGCACATTTACACAGAAGCAGGACTTGTCTCATAGAATCTTATTAATATTTTTCAGTAAATGCTAATTCAGGTATAAATGAGGAAAGAGAATTTTAACTGTACATTAGCAATAAAGGGTGTTTTTTTAATGTTTAGGTTTTGATTATTGTAAATCTTTAAAAAATTTTTTAAATGCAATACTGGAATCAAACCCAGGATCTCACATCTGCTAAACTTGTGCTAGCCATATTAAATCCTCATCCCTGAAAATATTTTCTTAAAATATTAAAATACCAAAATGTTCATCATAAATGAATATGTATTTTCTTATTAATGTTCCAGAAAACTATATAAGAATTATCATACTAAAAATTTATAAGCATACAGATTAAATGAGCATCAATGGCTATTAAAAGAATTTATTTTTAGTCTCTACACTTACTCTTCACTATTTAGACAATATCTTAATGCCTTGTGAGCGAATACTCATTAAATCTAAATGGTCTTTCTCCTATGTATTCTGTAAAAATGATTATCTACAGAGTCATTTTCTTCCTTTCAAGTTGTATAAATAAAGTGAGCTTTACTATTTGACAACGATTATATTGAAGTTAATATGAGCAGCTAGTACCCAAAATTTTGTTTGATGTATATTTACTATTTTACTCTGTGTGTGCCTCTGTGTGTGTGTCTGTATGTTTCTGTCTGTTTGTCTGTCTGTCTGTGTCTGTGTGTGTGTATGATATCAAACTCTAGGCCCTAAGTTTGGATTTTTTAAAAAATTGTATTTTTTTGGTTTAGAGAGGGAGGTTTAGGTATTTAGGAGCTTGGGGGGAGGGGATTGTGCCAATACTGAAGTCTGGGCACTGAGACTTAGCTTTTTGCTCAAGACTGCACTCAACCACTCAAATCATAACTTCTAGCTTTTTGCTGGTTAATTAGAGATTAGAGTCTCAGATTTACCTATTTGGGTTAGATTTGAACCATGACCTTCAGATGTCAGCCTCTTGGATAGCTAGGATTACAAGTGTGAGTCACCAGTACCTGCAGAAATAAATTTTTTAAAATATTTTGAATATCTTGTCATTTGTGCTAGGTAATAATGACATAATGTATAAACTTATGAAGGGTGAATAAGTTCTAGAGGTCTGATTTATAGCGTGGTGACTGTATATTGTAAATTTAAAATTCGCCAAGAGGAAAGACCACCACACAATGATGTAAACTTGTTCAACCACTCTGGAAAGCAGTGTGGAGGTTCCTCAAAAAATTAAACATAGAACTACCCTGTGATCCAGCAATCCACTCCTGGGCATTTACCCAAACAATTACAAGTTAGGATACAGTGAAGCCATAAGCACAACCATGTTTGTTTGTTTGTTTTTGTAAAGATGCTGTACAGAAGGGTTACAGTTACATGAGTAAGGCAAACATGTTTAATGCAGCACTATTCACCATAGCCAAGGTATGGAAACAGCCTAGATGCCCCTCCATGGACAAATGGATCAAGAAAATATGGTACATATATACGATGGAGTTTTAATAATCTGTTAGAAAGAATGATATTGTACAATGTTAAGTGAAGTAATTCAGGCGCAGAGAGATAAAGGATGCATGCTGTCCTTTATATGTGGAAGCTGGATTTATCTTATAAAAATACAAGTAAATATGTTGAGCGATATGTTTTGCAAGTATATACAAATATATAAACCAAAATACAGTATATTCAAGGGTAGATTCAAATAGTATGGTTCCTTAGAAAGGCAAAACTAAAGTTCAGCAAAATAAAGCACCAGGAAGTGGGTACACAAAAGAGGCAGGGTGAGGATCAAGGGAAAAGGGATGAACAAATGAATAGGAGAAAAGTGGGGAGAATGTGGTCAAGAATCCAATGTATACCCTACCAAATTAAGAAGTGTGAGAGAAAGGATAGCAGGAGGTATGGATGAGAATGTTGAAAGAGGTAACATTGACTAAGATGTATGTATTCATAAACTGTTTTGTTGAATGATGATTCCTTTACACACCTGCTTAAACACAATAAAAAACCATATACTAATTTTTGTTTTTTATACTTCAGTAAAGCTGGAAGAAAAAGAAGCAACAAAGAGTACATAAAGTAACCTTCCAAAATCTTTTCAAAAATGGGTAAAGAATGAATGAGAATGTGAACCTAAGAGTTGCATAAAGGAACAGTGATTCTTTTAATTACGCTCTTGTTTAAATTTGAGATTTAAAACTGTAGAAAATTGGTGAGAGATATTTGGGTGGAACATACCAGCTCAGTCAGAAATTTCAGATAACATAAGCTAATTTCAAGTGTGAGGTTCCTGTGTGATACAGGTCTGCCCCACTGATACAAGAGAGAGAAGAGGCATGCACAAGTCACACACACACGCACACACACATACACACACAGCATTATTTATAATGGCTCCAAACAAACTATAATGTGTGCATAATATGGAATATAATGGAATATTACTACATAATATGGAAAATTATGTACAATAACAGCAACAAGGATATGTTACATAACAATGCTAAGTGAAAGAAGTCAGACACAAAACATACTGAATTTCATTTGTATAAAATTCAAAAGCCAGACAGAATTAATCTGTGGTGTTCCAAGGCAGAATAGGAGTTTCTTTGGGGAGTACAGGGGAGGATACTGTGGGAGGGGAAGAAATGATTTATGTGGGTCGGTGATGTGGGCTGGGATGTTCTTACCATTGTTTGTCTCATCAGCTCCAGGGTTGTAACCTCTGTCACTATTCCTTCTCTCTGCACATTCCCAGAGGTGACAAGCATCCAGTACACCCAAACAGAAAAGGACCCCATATTGTCATCCCAGACTTTTCTGTCATAAAGACAAGCATTTTAAATAGTCCTTCAGAATATTTTGACCTAGATTCATACTGAAATAACTGGGAAAATATACTTCCTCATTTCGAAATCATAGTAGGAGATTAACATTTATCTATGTAACCAAATGTTTCTGTAGTTGCTTTTCCCCTAGAGTCCTTGCTTATTCTTCTTGAGCATTAATTCCTTGTGATCCTCCTAGAACACACTTTGGGGACCCCAGCTTCCAACCCTCTTATTCACAAGTCTATGGAAACATGCCTGTAGATATCACATAGGCACATCAAATCCCCACACATATCAGCAGACCACAGCTTATTTCAGAACATCTTCTTTCTTCTCCCTGCTAAGTGTCACCACATATCCTGTCACCTTAACCCTAAGTATATAAATTACTTTATATGCTTTTTTATAGCCCCACATCAAATCACCCATCAAGCCATAGAGACTATAGTCTTCACCTTTCTTGCTACCCTCACCATTGCTCTTTCACTGACAGCCATCATTATATTTTTTCCTGAGGCCAATTGCAGAGATCTATAAGAGTTCTGATTGAAATTTCACTCCTGAAATCTCCCTTTATGTCCTTTATTGTACTGAGCTCAAAAATATAGTAGCTACATTCCACTTGTGGTGAAGACTGCCAAACTCTCTGATCTTATGAGGGATACATTTAACATGTCAGGAATGATGTGTGTAAGAAAGAGCTTGAAGCAGAGATGCTCAGGATCATCAAGGTGAAATGGCACAATGTCTTGAATTGGCTTTAAATTATTGAAGTGGAAGCGTTTTAGGGTTTTCTTTGTGGGAGGCTTGGGCTTGAACTCATAGCCTGGGCACTGTCTCTAAGCTCTTTTGCTCAAAGCTAATGATCTTATCACTTAAACCACAGATCCATTTCTGGCCTTTTGGTGGTTAATTGGAGATCAGAGTTAATTGGAGATCGGACTTTTCCTGCCTAGGCTGCCTTTGAACTATAGTCCTCAAATCTCAGCTGTCTGAATAGCTAAGATTACAAGTATCAGCTACCAGCACCCAGATGAAAAGTTTTTATGAAAAAATCGAGAGGATAAATAAGGCAACAATGGTAAAATCTTGAATCTAGATGTTGAATATAGTTGGATATTCTGTTCTCTCTGTTTCAAGGTTTTCTTTCTTTCTTTTTTTTTTTTTTGTTGGTCGTGGGGCTTGAACTCTGGGCTTGGGCGCTGTCCCTTAGCTCTTCAGCTCAAGGTGAGTGCTCTGCCACTCAAGCCACAGCACCACTTCCTCAAGGTTTTCTTAACATAAAAATTTTCTTAAAGGAAAGGGTATGTAGTTTAGTGGTAGAATGCATGCTTAGCATGCAAAGCCCTGTTGTTGTTGATATTCAGTATCTTAATTGTTTGTGTTGCTGAGGATTGAGTTTCTAACTCCCACATGCTAGACAAGCACTCTACCACTCAGTAAATAGCTCAGGCTGGCTTCAAACTCTCAGTCCCCCTGCCTGAGCAACTTAAGTGCTGGGATGATAGATATATGCCATCACACCTAGTCCTAAGATGCCTTTTGACTCTGAATACTAATGAAGAATGAGTCAGGTTCACAAATATGGAGGTCAGGAGAAGGCTAGAATAGAGAGTTGTGTGGAGAATTGACAGCAGGCAGGAGGCCTTTTATAGTACACAGATGTACATACCCCTTGGGAGTGAGTAAGAATCTCAGAAGGAATAAGACAAAGAACTGGGATCAATATCCCAGATTTAAGTCCTGGGGAAATGGGAAGTTCCAGTAAAGGATACTGTTAAGTCACCCTTGGGAATTGAGAAAGGTATCCCAGAAGCCACAGGATTGAAGTGTGCTTAGGTAGGAAGGGGTTGTCCCCTGCATGAGTGCTTCAGATAGCGCAAATAAGATTAGACTGAATGCTGACCACTGGGTTCTCAATGGCAAATGTATTCACTGTTTTGACTTTGGCAAATCTTAAGGTTTTGATATAGTAGTTTTAAATCTTCATAATTAAAAAAATACATTATAGATAAAGCAACTTAATCTCTGATGTCATGGCTCCATTCCAAGCTGTCATCACTCTAGACTATACTACTGTGAGTTCTAGACACTATTCTCTTCTTGCTGGCATTCATTTATACTATCCTGCTTGGGTCGTTAAATACTGGTGAGCTCTGTGCCATTTGTCTGTGTTCTCTTCCCAGACAGCTCTATGCTTTGCTCAGTTCCCTCCAGTCATAGCTTCCAGTGCTTGCATGCACACTTGAGTACTCTCTAGGCGCTATATCCACGAAGCCTCTTAAAGTTCCATGGGTGCCTTAGATCCTTCTGCCTTTGCCATTCCTGCTGCTTTCAATGTATATTTTGCCCACTCAGCTCACTCCTTCACTCATGCTAGCCTTTTTGACTCATAGCTCATATGGGTAGCTTTTAGAAGTTTTAATGTCTCCTGACCATCACAAGTAGATCTATTCATTCTATAAATATGTTTCTGCTTTATGTTTTTATTTACCTGTGTCTTTATAAGAACCAGTCTAAGTCAAAAAGAAGTAATTGTATTTCCAGTGTATTGTTCCCATAGCACATGCCTCACTGAATTGTCTACAACTCTTAACTTACCTCTCCTCCCTGACCCTACATGCCATACTCCCTTTATTTTGAGGGAAGGAAGTTTTATTTCATACCCATGTGCCTACCAATGTAAGCCTTGTGAAAGCCTGAAGTTAGATAGCCTTAAAATTTTGAAAAGCTATCAGTTTTGTTATGGAATATGGGAATAATAATACTATCTACTTCATTGGATTGTTGGAGTGATTCTATAAGAATATGCTTATTAGAGAACTTGGAACAGTGCTTGCACAGAATGAGGACTCCTGAAGTGTTATTTCCCATTGTTATTATTAGAAAAGAGTAGATAAGAGGGTCATCTGGATAGATGGTAAGATGGACAGATGGTTGAGTGGCTGGATCACATACCTTTGTAATCCTATCTCTATCCATCCTTGGATAATTATAGCTGCTAGTCAGTGTTTTCTGAATCAAAATATAATGAAATACTTCTTTTAACATATCCCAAATTTCATTTATGGACAAATAAATGATTAGTATCTCACTGGATTTAGTGATATAGTAGTAGCTCACTATACATAATTTTGCTAAGTAGTGCTTGGTGAAACAGGATATTTCCTAGGTGTCCTTCTCTCTCTACCTTCTCATAGTTGCCTCCAACCCCCCTCTTTTCCTTATAAATATTCCTCAACTGTTCTTCAGAACAAACATAATATTAAGTTGATTTCATTTACTCCTCTGTGCCCAGAGCATTAAAACAATGTAAAGCAGTTACAACTGATCCATTTGCCTTTCTAGTTTTGAATGAATCTGCTGACGTTTGTACAACACTTGTTTATGCCAAATGTAGTGATTATTTTCTATACTTTGGAAGCTTGCTTTTTCATTTAGGCAAAACTCACTTGCCTAAATACTCACTAGGAAAACAGATAGGCATAGCTTAGTAATTCTTACCAAGAATAAAATAATGATAAAGATTATGTCTCACAACCATGTTATTGTTGTGTATGTTCTTCTTCTTTTGTTCAGGCACCTCGTTCTGAAGCTCTTACCATCCTTGGTTCTCTGGTCTGCTTTCCAAATACCTATCAGGAGATTCCTTTACTTCGATCAGTGCCAGAAGTAAATGAGGTCATTTCAGGAACTGAAGATGTCAAGGTACATACCACATTTAACTAAATCTCAGGTGCAGCATTTTATAGTTCTAGCTATATGAGGATAGCTACCAAATTATGCCTTGATCTACTTAACCCTGAAATTTGGCCTTTTAAATGTTTCAGTAGTTGTTTTCAGAAGTCTGTTTCAGGGGTTATAAACATAGCACACACATCATATTACAATTAGATCTGATAGTTCTTTTCCTCCAGTGTTTTGTGTCAGATCTGTTTATCATTCCTAGGAATGAATTAGCCTTTGTAATAATTTTATTTCCTTAACTATGCAGCATTAGTGTATCAAATGAATTTATATCAGATTGTTGGTAAGTTAAGTATTCAATCTGTTGTTGGCCTGATTAAATATTAGTAATATGGGCTGGGAAGTTGGCTCAGTGGTAGAGCGCTTGCCTTGCATGCCTGAGGCCCTGGGTTCGATTCCTCAGCACCACATAAGAAAAAAGCCGGAAGTGGCGCTGTGGCTCAAGTGGTAGAGCCCTAGCCAAGGGCTGAGGGACAGCGGCCAGGCCCAAAGTTCAGGCCCCACGCCCGGACCCAAAAAAAAAAAACACATAAATATTAGTAATAATTTGGAAGCCAAAATTTTTTCTTGGTAAATAAGAGTAAGCATGTGCTTTTTCCTCAGTTCACTTTTGAGGCAAACAAAAATATATCAGCATTTATCAGTCATAATACATAATACGTGATTATATCAATCCATAATACATGATTATATTGTATAATGGAATGAACAAATTATAATCCAATCAAAGTAAAAGAAAATGAAGATTTTTCTATCTAGAAGCCAGTTGCTTTGTGAATTTGTCATTGGATACCCCACAACAGTGTACCTTAGTCTGGCTTAATTGTTCTGAGATTCCCCAACAGAGATGAACCCAGAGTTTCTCCTTCCCCCAGGTTCTCCAGCTGAAGAGCTGCTCAAGTTCCCTGGCTCTTCATAGCTCCCCAGTGTTTGGAACATGAGCAGCATGTGTGAGAAACCAACTATGACACAAAGTTTTTATTTTATTTTATTTTGTCTTTTTAGCATTACCTCATAAATATTTTACTGAAGAATGCTACCGAAGAACCAAATGAATGTGCAAGGTAAACTGTTTAAGAATTTTAAGTTGTGTTTTTTTATGTAAACAGTTACTACTCAAAAAATTTCTTCTCACTAGTCTTATAATAAATGTATAGTAAGAATTAAATGAGAAAGTTGGTATGTTTGATTACTTAAAAGTAACTAAGTGAAAATGATCAGATATAGATAAGATATAGATATATTTTACGTGTCATACCATCTTTTGTATAAGAAAAAACAAGATTAGAAATAAGTAGATGTATTCCAATTCTTCCAGTAAGAAGGAAAATGGAAGAATAAACAATTCACAAAAGTGACATATATTTGCATGTATGTATATATGTATGTATGTATGTGTGATGATGATGATGATGATGGTGGTGTGTGTGTGTGTGTGTGTGTGTGTACCAGTCCTAGAGCTTGAACTTGGGATCTTGGTACTATCTTTGTGCTTTTTTTTTTGTTCATTGCTCTTAACACTTGAGCCACAGCTCCACTTTTGGCTTTTTGGTGATTAATTGGATCTAAGAGTTTAATGGACTTTCCTACCCAGGCTGGCTTCAAACCATGACCCTCAGATCTAAGCTTCCTGAGTAGCTAGGATTACAGGTATGACCAGCTGGCATCCAGGGCAATGGTTTTTAATTAGTGATGATTTTTGTGCCCAAGGAGATATTTGTTCATGTCAGAAAACATTTGGATGAGTCAGAGATTGTCAGCAGTCTGTGACTAAGATAGAAGGTTTTCTAGGCTACCTGTATGATGAAACGTTCTTACCTCTTCTCTTGCAGTAAAAGCTAAAGCTGATGGAGATGAGCGTCTGTCTTTTATCCTCAGCTTCCAGGTCTATAAAGTCATCAGCATGCGACTCAGCCTCTTACTGCCTTTTAGGAACTAGCCAAAATAACACTCATTACTCCTCAATGTCTTGTGGACTCTGATGATTTCAGGGTTCTTCAATTACCATATCTCAACTAACTTCTTCAGTAATCTTCAGACTATGGCTTCAAACACACTCCTTAGTCTGCTGTTGCTAGTAGCTATATGCTCATTATCAATTTACTTTTATTAAACTAAATTTATACCTCGAGAAAAACTCAGTTTGAATAACATAGTACTGAATCTAGTTTGGCTAATATCATTTTGTCTTTCTCTACCCATTTCTCTTTCTCCTGATAAATTAAAATTTTGTAGGAATTTGTCCATTTCATATAAGTTTTAAAATATGCTATCATATTAAGTTATCCCTATTATTCTTCTGTCTCTTTCATTTCTATAGCTATATGTACTTTTTAAACTATGGAACTTTTAGTACATTCTGATTTTTTTAATATTATCACTAAAAGTCTCAACTCTATTAGTTTTCCGCATTTACCACATTCAAACTATGAACATGTCTTGGCAAACTATCCTCTGCTTCCACTAATAACTTTTTCTTCAGTGTAGAAGCCAGATTTCATTAGGGTTCAAATAGAATCAAAATGTATGCATGGTATGATATTATCTTTGAAGGATGTGTGTGTTAGCACAATGTTTAAAAGAAACAACTGAGATTTATTTTGGAAGTTGGATCCAAATATACTTTAAAATAAAATGTAGGGTTTGTCTTATGTATGTAGTAGGTATTTGTACATATTATTGTAAAGCAAGTACAGAGTCAATATTCAATGTGTCATGTTCATGATTTCTCCTCAAAAATATCTTAAAACAATAAAATGTAAAAACAAATTAGATTTAGCAAAAGCAAATCATAAGTGGGTTGTAACAATTATCAGAAAATGTCACTTATTTCAAGAAATAGTTAAGTGCTAATCATTATCCATATTCATTTGTCCTGAAAACTAGCCTGTTGAACATTTCTCCTCTATTCTTTCAAGAATGAATCCTGTTGATGAATCTGTAATTTTTGCTACTTTGAGTTAGCACATTACATTTATTTATGGGAGTTTTCTTCCTTCTGTTTCTTTTTAAAAAGATGCATCGCCATTTGCTCCCTCGGGGTTTGGATTTGTGAAGAGCTTGTACAGTGTACCAACCATCCTCAGGTGAAAGAGGCCATCAATGTGATAGGTGTAACTTTGAAGGTATTACCATTTCATAATGCTAATGTGACATTAAGATACCTCTGGCATTTAACTAGTTTTATTTTGAATCAGCTCCATCTTTGTTGCTTCTCACATTACAAAGAGGTAGTGATTCAAAATTTCTTTTCTGCCAGCCATGGTTAATGTGCTGTAAGACCACTAATGGTTGCTTCCTAATTGGCAGGTGCAATCAGGCCATTGACTTGAGTATTCCTAGACCAATCCTAGTAGCCATATAGCATTCTTCTGGTGGCTGGGCAGCTCATATAGAAAGGAGGAAGTCTTCTATCTGTCAATAAGAGTGACAAGAAAGTGATATTTCAAGTCCTGGTCTCTTCAGTAGAACTGGGAATAGCCCTTACAATTTCCATGTAGGAGTCCTGAGAGTTCAGCGGCCTGCTAAACCTTAGACATTTTAGTACAGCTTTCTTTATTTGCTTTGTTATTGAGGTCGGCTTCCATATTTTATTGTACAATCATATAAGGCAAATCTTTATGACAGCTTTGCAAGGTAGATATTAGGAAATGAAGGCCTGGAGAAATTAGGTCACAAGTTTAAGGCCATTCAGATACCAGTGGCAGAACCAGCACTAAAGACAGATCTGTGTGATATTAAAGACATAAATGAACTTTCAATTATACACTTAGGCTGTTTTCCACAACCAGAACTCATCTCCTGTCCTTTCCTGATCCTGTTTAGAAATGGTGATAATAACTAGACTTGTCCTTTTTGTACTTCCAGAACAGATGAGTGCCTCATGTGGAGTAGGCATTATGCTAAGGGATTTGGGGAAATTCTCAATAATAAGAAAAGTGTCTTCATTTTACTAGTTGGAGAACGAAGGTCCAGGACATTAAGGAGCTTGTTCAGGCCTATAGAATCCCCCAAATGAACCAAAGTTCAAATCCTGAACTACCTATCTTACATCAATGTTCAGACTGTTGCCTGCCTTTCCTTGCTGCCTGCCACATGTCACTTTTACTAGTAACAGCAATTACAGCTGTGTGGAGACAATCACCATTAAGACAGTGTCAGCTCCTCTTCTACTCTTTAGGCATTATGTATTTAAGACCACAGAATAATCAGCCAGTGGTTTTCCACCCCTTAGCTTGGTGTGGAGCTCTCTTTATCTGGCCCTTGTCTGACTAAACTTAATGCCTCTTGTTCCCTAAGCATATACTCCAGTCACCCCTATCACTTCATCCTTGCCCTTCCCTGCTTCACAATACTTGGGCAGGGTGGAAGGTACTGTTTATACCTTGAAGTTGGAAAAATGCCTACTGCTGATTCCTTGATGAGGAATGTTAAAATTAATATTATTCAACCATGAAACTACAGGAGAATGTTCCCTTCAGCCTGAGCAGGGTCTGACCCTGACCTTTTCCATGATGTTTAATACTTAGAACTACACTAGGAGGTGAACTGTCACTGCCACCTTCACTTCACAGAGGAGGAAAGTACACTGTTTGGGAGCCTGAGGAGCTTGTCAGGTCAAACCCAGAGACTCTCACCACATATCTGGGGTTTTACGTAACTGAAGTATGCACTATACTTACTCTCTAGCTACGAGGAATATTCACATATAACTTTTAAAGTGAAACATGTTGGATATAACTTGAAAAACAATACAGATCTCAATTTATTTTTAAATAATTTTTTTCAATTGTAAGATCTGCCTTTCAACTTTCAATTTATCTTAAAACTAGACATGCATACTTAAAAGAAGGTAGTTCCCTTTTATATCTTATTTGAAAAGACTGTTAATAACTCAGTGGCATGTTACAAATTATCTATGTGTGCATATATGTATATGTGTGTATGTATGTGTGTATTTGTAGTTTCTATATAGCTAGAACAAAAGTAGAAACTGGTAACAGCAGAGGACTAAAGTAAAGAAGACTGGGGTTATATGGTAGCTATATTTTGTTCTTTTTTTTTTTGGTGCTAGTTTTGGGCTTGAACTCAGGACCTGGGCACTGTCCCTGAGCTCTTTTGCTCAAGGATAGTGCCCTACCACTTAAGCCACAGCTCCACTTCCAGCTTTTTGGTAGTTAATTGGAGATAAGAGTCCCATGGACTTTCCTGTTCAGATTCCTGAGTAGCTAGGATTACAGGAACTGGTATGGGATGAGCCATCACTGCCCCACTCGATTGTCTTCTTTTAGTTCTTTTTAAGTTCTTAAATTTCCACTATATTTCTGTAATTCTGAGGAAAAACAAAATATCAGAAAAACATGGTAACACTATTGAGTCTTTATTCTGTCAGGCACTGTCCAGCACAGTGTGTGGCCTGCCCCACAGAACTCCCCTGCTGGATGAGTACTGCTGTCATTTCCAGTTTAGAACTAAGACAAGGGAAAGTGAAGAGCAAGTAGTAGCCCCAGATTGAAGTGCTAAGCAAAGGGTCAGGAAATTAGACGGCCAAGATATAGCCAGGTAGATCACTTTTATTAATAGTGAACAATGCATTAAGTGAAATATGGATTGTTGAGGCCATCTCTCTCTGATTCTGAGTTTTCTGTGCCAGTTGGGTTATTTTACTTAAGGCCATAGCACATAAATCTAAGAACTGAGGAATAGAAGGGAGGAAGTGCCACAAGAACTCAAAGAAGAGCAGACACTTCGGGAAGAGAAGAGGGCTAGGAAGGATAGAAATGAAGAAGAGCAGGCCATGTTTGGAGGCTAGCCCCAGCCAGCTCTTGTCTGTTCCACAGAGAGCAGGAGCCCTAAAAGGATTCTGATACCATCTTGCTTGTTACCATGCCCTTTAAAAATACTCCATGAAGGCGCTCCATTTGTGTCCATGGATATGGAAAGACACCTCCAGCCATGTCTGCAGTACTTTTCCCAAGGTATATTAATGAAACCTCACCTCTTACCACAAGCAAGAAGCACTGAGAGAGATCACTGAGTGAAATCAGTCCATCTGGGTTACTGCACAAAGAATTCCATTTATCCAGTTTCTATTTAATGGGGGAGTACATGGGCCACAAGTGTGTGGTGGTTCTGTGCCACCAATATTTTCATGAAGTCATGGCCATCCCACCTTTGTGGATGGGGACCAGTGCCATAGCATGACATATTGCTCAGGCTCAGGTAACCTACCCAGCCTCGCCTTCCTGAATCAGCCACCCTCAGCCTTATCTGAGGTTCCTTTTACTCCATTTCTTCAAGTAAAAGTGACTTTTCTTCTTATCCCACCAATGTTTCCAGGCTTTAATGTTTTTTTTGTTTGTTTTTGTTATTCTCTCCCCCAACTCCCTTCTCTTATTTCCCCTACCACAAGTCTATCCATCACCTAACTCACTGAGTTGGTGGTCACTGAGCCTCCTGACTGGGGTTGCCAGCCCTCGGCTGACCAACATAGCCCACCAGCTAGTGTACTACATAGGACTCTGCTGCCCAGTGACACTACCTGTTCCTGGAAAATAGGAACTATTTGTACATTTTGTGCCTTTAATTCTGTGCTTACATTGTCAGTTTTCCATGGCTATGTGCCTACATTTGTGAATGAATGATTTATTTCATCTCTGCCATTCTCCACCTCTCTGTCTGTGTGTCAGTACTATCACACTGCTCACAGTCCTGTCTTACGTGTCAGTTATCACACTGCTCACGGGTCCTCCCTAATCCTTTTTTTTTTGTTGTTGTTATGGGGCTTGAACTCTGGGCCTGGGCACTGTCCCTCAGCTCTTCAGCTCAAGGCTAGTGCTCTACCACTTGAGCCACAGTGCCACTTCTAGTTTTCTAAGTGGTTTATTGGAGATAAGAGTGTCATGGCCTTTCCTGCCCAGGCTGGCTTTGAATCTCGATCCTCAGATCTCAGCTTCCTAAGTAGCTAGGATTACAGGCGTGAGCCACTGGTGCCCGGCATCCTCCCTAAGCCTTTGCTGCCTTAGTGTGTGTGCTCTCCCTCCTGCATGGAGGGGACCTGGCACTCCATCTACATTCTTTGAGACACAGCTTAGCTCTTGTGCCTCTTGCCTCTTGCTGCCTTCTCTTTGCCTTTTCTACCTATTCCTTCTCTCAGCCCAACACCTTTTTGCCTTTTCTGCCATAGCTCTCATTATTGTCCTTTTGTCTGTTTCCAGTTTCCTGAATTAAGAGCCTTGCCAAGTGCCTACTCCTTTTCTCCTCTCCCTCAATGTTTCATCTTCCCCTTAAGCACACCTGATGAGACCATGTGAGATATTTTGGATATGACAGTGATGAAGGAGAATAGCAAACAAGTCCAACTACCCTGTCCAACAAGTCCAGCAGTCCTAGACTGTGAAGGAAATATAGCAGGAGAACAGGATGAAGCTGTAAAGCTGGAAGCAGTAGGCTACCACAGCTTTGGATGAGGGTAGTGACCTCATTGGGCAGTGATATTTTGTGCCCCATAAGGTAGAAACAGTCCAGGGCATTTGAGTGATAGAAAGTGCCTGTAGGATCTGGGTGCCTGTGGCTCAGACCTAACTATTCAGGAGACTGAGATCTGAGGATCGTGGTTCAAAGACAGCCCAAGAAAGAAAGTCCATGAGACTTTTATCTCAAATTAACCACCAGAAAACCAGTTGTGGAGCTGTGGCTCAAAGTGTTAGAGCACTAGCCTTGAGTGGAAAAAAAGCTCAGGGACAGTACCTAGATCCTGAATTCAAGCCCCATTTCTGACAAAAAAAAGAAAGAAAAAGAAAGGAGAGAGAGGGAGAGAGAAAGTGAGAGAGAGAGAGAGGAGAGAGAGTGTGCAAAAGAAAAAGAAAGAGAAGAAATGAGAAAAAAGAAAAGAAAGCACATGCCAGTAGGGTTCAAGTCTTCTGGAGTCTAGGTGGCTAGAGAAGGCTGTAAAGAAACTCTGTACTTAGCATTTACCAAGCACTTGCCTGGTAAGCAACTGTTCCGTAGAATTAAAATTGATTACTTTTTCCTTAACTTGTTCATCTGTGCTTTTGTCACTGGAGTGCTAAACATTGACCTTTTTAGCATTGCTTATGTGGCATACTTGTCAATTGATATCTGCTTCATGGACCTTGTAGTGAGAATTTTCTAGAGCAGTGATACAGAATTATTGACAAACCTTTGAGCAGCAGATAATGGGGTGTGGATAGCAGTGTAAAGTACCCAGCTTCTTGCTAAGGAGAGAAATATTGGATGTCCTAATCCCCTAGCATGTTCAAATATAAGTTTGTAAGAACAGCACTTGTGGCATTCATCTCACAAGAATTAGAAGCATCCAGAAAATCTTAATGTGGACCCTGGAACACACATTTTGAGGCGTCCTCAGAATATTATATCATAGTGAATGAGTTATATTCTGTTCTCAAATTTTACACATTTCCTAGTATGTTACATAGGTGGGTTGTTTCATAGGTAGAAAGTCATTTGATCAATCTGTTTTTCCATGTGTAAAATGAAGATAGCCATCTACCTTACAGTGCTGTCAATGAAAATTGATCAATGAGAATGAGTTCAATTCTTGTAAAAGGTTCAACACACAGGAGATACTCAGCAGTACACTCCATTTTAATTTGCTGTAGCCAAAAATATTATTTTTATGACCTGAGTAAGGAACTTGAAATTACAATTTAAATTTCTAAATTAAACAATGCTAAATTAAACAATGCTTCATGCAAAACAAATTACTATAATGTATATGGGATTTGGAATAAATACGGTTTTTTCTTCTTAATAATACACCTTTTGTTATTTTACTTTGGGATTTGATTTCTTTTATAGTTTCCTAACAAAATTGTGGCTCAGATGGCTTGTGATGTTCTTCAGTTGCTTGTTTCCTACTGGGAAAAGCTGCAGATGTTTGAAACTGCTCTGCCTCGGAAGATGGCAGAAGTAAGTCTTTTCTTGTAATGCTAAAACACATGTGCATTTTCTTTTTAACTTATTTGATATCTAATTATTTATAAGCCCTCAAATAATGATTGGAGAACCAATTATTAAGTTGTAACAAACATAAGTCCTATTTTAAGATGAAGTTGGCTGATTCTTCTCAGCTGCAAGTCTAGGCACCAAGTAAAGAAGCTAGCAGTATTCCAGAGCAGAAGCTGATACTTGGGGAATTTGAAAGACAGACACAACCTCTACAAAGAGATCTTTTGTAGATTAGGCTTTATTCATCGAGAGTAATTTGGATGGTGCCAACAAGAAATAGGCAGCTGGTTATGAGTGCCCTCTGTGCAGGCTAGAGGGGATGGCTGTTGTATAAAGGAAGAGTCCCTCCCAGACTAAAGCCCTGGAACATGCTTTCTGCTTTAGCATGATTACCCAGCTATAATGAGATTATTACTGTAATAATCTCTATGGGGTAATTGGCAGCAGGGGGAAGCAGAAGGAACAGGAAGAATCACTTAACATAGCATCCTACATATAGGTTACCATCGAGGATGCCTTGCTCAGACCTGGGCAGGTACTCTCACCTCAGGTGCCTGTGCTAAAGCACATCCAAATGTTATGTTTTATAGCTACACGTTTTTAAACAATGCCTGTTCTTTACACATCCAGTAGTGACTGAGAAAATTTGATTTGTCCCTATAAGGGATTACAGGGAGAAAGAAGTGATGTTGATTTATTTCCTCTTAGTGCTAGATAAATTTCACTGGAGAGATCACTTTGTTCTCTCAGAAACACATCAAAAGTAGTTTCTGACCTTAAGTGACCTAGAATGAAATAGTGCTTTATCCATAGGAATATCAGATCTAAAGTTGAGCTTTAGGAAAATGGTATAATTTATCATTATTGTTTAAGAATAGGAATACTTTTGGTAATGAAAGAAGTGTGGTTATACCAGGATAGCAAGTGGAGAACTATGCAATTTATAATAATTTTAAATGCGAATATTTCCATAATTATTTTTGAAAGTACCTTTTACTTCACCGTGGGAAGTATGGGGCTGATGGTGGAAGTTATGTGAACTATCCTTTTCTTGTGGCTCCCTGTTCCCCTACCAGGAGAGTGGAGTAGAAACCAGGCCTGGGTCTACCTTCTCCTAGTTTTCAAGATTTTACCCATAATTACCTTGCACCTATCTTTTTTTTTTTAACTTTTTAATGCAGATTCTTGTGGCCACAATTGCTTTTCTTTTACCAAGTGCTGAGTACTCCTCAGTGGAAACAGACAAGAAGGTAAGTGGCACATTAGATGACTTTCCCTAGTTTATTTTTAAGTGTGAGATGGGATAACAAGTAATATTATGTAGAGTGATAACCTTGATATATTCTTATGCATAGGCCTTCATAATATCTCCTACAAAAACACCATTTTTTCTGGGTATCAGTGGCTTATGCCTGTAATCCTAGTACTCAGGAGGCTGAGATCTGAGAATCATGTTTCAGAGTCAGCCTGGACATGAAAGTCCATGAGACTTTTTTTTTCTTTTGTTCTTTTTTTTGTAACTGTAAAGGTGATATACAGTGGGGTTACAGTTACGTAAGTAAGATAATGAGTACATTTCTTTTCGAACAGTGTTTCCCTCTTCCTCATTTTCTCCCACTTTTCCTCCACCCCGAATTCCCTCTCCCCCAAGCAGTAAAGTTCATTTTCAACATAATGTCTTGTGAGTATCACTGTTGTATTGGTTCACCCTTTGACCTTTGTCTCACTATTTTTGTTAATTTCCTTCCCATGCCCAAATCAGACAAAGTTATAAATGATACAAAGGTTACTAAAATAAAAAACAGTGACTATAAGGGTAAACCAAAGAGGAAAAAAGAAATAACTGCATACAGTACATAAAGGAAAACAAAACCAAAAAAGACCTCTTGTTTACATATCTTGTAGTTCATTTCAGTTAGCATCATTTTATATGGTCATATGTACATAGCTATTGAGCTATTTTGATCCTCAGAACTATCCTACACATATACTAATTATTATAAATGAGGGAAAACAAGCATCATATGTTTCATTGGTTCTGGCTTACCTCACTTAATATGATTTTTATCAAGTCTTCCCTGATGAGTGGGGCAATGTCATTCTTTCTGATGGAAACATAGAATTCCATTGTGTATATATACCCCATTTTCTTGATCCTTATACCCACTGAGGGGCATCTGGGTTGATTACATGTCTTGGGTGTGGTAAATAATGCTGCAATGAATGTAGTTGTGCTGGTAGATTTAGTGACTCTTTTCTCCAGTTAACTACTAAAAAGCCAGAAGTGGAGCTGCGGCTCAAGTGGTAGAATGCTAGCCTTGAGCAAAAAAGCTCAATTATAGCATCCAGGCCTAGAGTTCAAGCCCCAGGACTAGTGCAAAATAAGAACAACAGGGGCTGGGAAGGTGGCTCAGTGGTAGAGCGCTTGCTTTGCATGCTCAAGACCCTGGGTTCGATTCCTCAGCACCACATAAGCAAACAGAAAAAAGCCGGAAGTGGCGCTGTGGCTCAAGTGGTAGAGCGCTAGCCTTGAGCTGAAGAGCTGAGGGACAGCGCCCAGGCCCAGAGTTCAGGCCCCACGACCGGACCCAAAAAAAATAAATAAATAAAATAAAAATAAGAACAACAACCCTGTTTTCTCCTTATTTACCTATGTCGCATTTGTGTGTCCATTGAATAATTAGTTTAAACAGACTGTTTTCCAAGATAGTATTACATGTAGTGAGGTTTAATAGTCCATATATTGTACTGGTCATGTTTCTTCTTCCAGTTCATTGTATCCTTGCTCCTCTGCCTCCTGGAATGGTGCATGGCATTGCCAGTGAATGCACTTCTCCATCCCGTGTCCACAGTGGTTCTGGAGGAACAGCACCCATCCCAGGCCCCATTGCTGGATTATATCTACAGGGTGAGTCTCCATCTGGACTTTGGCGCACAACTGTAAACCTATATATGTCCAAGAGTTACCAAATTGTGTTTTGTACATTTACTTATTTATGCCCTTTGAAAAGGATTTGTCTTGGGTTGAAACACTTAAAAAGATATGGACAATTTAATGAGTGAAATCAGAACATACCCAGCCATAGACAAGATGTCACCAAGTTAAAGAAGTGTGCATTTTTACATGACTGCCATCTTTAATTTTTAAAACAACTGCTGTTTGGTCAGAATACCCAGTTTTTATGGAACATAATCTGTGTCTATTTAAGAATGGAATGCTAATATGAAAAGAACATCCAGAACATTTAACAAAATCTGTTGATCAAAGGAAGAAAACAGTATAATGTTTCCAATAATCTATTGACCTTCAAAAAGCCTCTAAAGTAAGTAAAGGATTCTAATCTTTAGAAAAAGTAATAATATTTTAAAAACCAGTATTAAATTTACTTTTATTGAAATGTATTGTAAATTTTGTGTTAAATTAACCCTTACAACTCATGGAGTTCTGAGCTATTCTAATTAACGCATGAACTGTCATAAAGCTCACCACCATGAGGAGTTTACCTGACAGCTTCTCTTTGCCTCCTGAATTAGTTCCTTTTACTTGAGCTGTCTTTGGTGGAAGGAAGAGAACTCAAGTATGTACAACCACATCAAAAAACAAAATGGGTAATTTTTCACCTCTGCTTTTCTTTCATCTTGAGTACATACTTATTGTCATGTGAAAGAAGCAAAATGAATTTTCTATTAGCAAAAAGACATTTAAAATGAAAATGACTATTTTGAAGTGCTCACTGTAAGCATCCCTAGCACCTAAGGACTCGAGTAATTGAACAGTTAGTGGACTTTGGTTGGTGGCATCCAGGGTACCATTCTCATCTGTTTTCCATAGGTTCTGCACTGCTGTGTTTGTGGATCTAGCACATACACCCAGCAGAGTCACTACACACTGACCCTGGCTGACTTGTCATCCACGGATTATGACCCCTTCCTGCCACTAGCAAATGTGAAGAGCTCCGAGCCAGTTCAATACTATTCTTCAGCAGAATTGGGAAACCTGCTGACTGTTGAAGAGGGTGAGTATTAGTTCAAATGTAAAATCTTGTGGGCAAAAAAGGAAAGATTGCAGCCTTTTTTCCATGTGTAATGTGTTCTGTTTTAAAAAACTTAGTTGTTGGAGTTGAAATTGAATTTAGAGAGTCCTCTCATGGAAAATTCTGCCTTCCTTATTTATTTTTTCTATTACTTTATTTCTCCTCTTTTAAATATCTTAGCTATTTAAATAGCTTTGTATTATGGAGGGCCTATATGTCTCACACCCATAAAAGACTCATTTTCTATTCTCAAGGAGCTCTAGATCTACTGGGAGAAATAGGGAGTATTAAGAAAGACACTGCAGCCAGTAGCACCATGTGATCTTTCCATGAAGAAGAACATAAGCTAAAGTTGCCAGAATGGGCAGGCTTTGAAAGGACCACATAGTGTTCCTGATTAGGAGATGTGCATGAAAAGAGATAGCAATTTACTTGTTACCTTTGTAGAATGTGACCATTTTAGAGTCAAAGGATTAGCAAGAGCTTCTATATGATCTTCTGTTATAGATATGTAACATGTTATCACTTGGTAGAAGGATATTTCAAGTCTTTTTGTAATTTCTTATAACTACATAATCTATCAATTGTCTCAAAATTAAAAGTTAAAAAATGAGGATATGGAATAATAAATCATGAACTTTGTTAGCTTAAAGAATGAAATGTTGAAGGTAAAAACATCCTGTAGGGTAAAAGAAATGAGAATTTGTTACCAGGGAAGCAAAGTCAGAGAAGTGGAAATACAACAGAGTCATTTCTAAAGAGGTCAAGGGGGGAAAAGTGGGTGGGGCTAAGGAAGGTCAACAGTTCTGGTGCTTTAACAAGCTCAAGTCAAGGAAGGTGAAAAAAAAAAAGGGAGCTATTTTACTTCCCAAGGAAGTGTTTGCTGTGGGTTTTACCAGAATACTTTGTACAGAGTGTGCAGAGTTTCATTTGGTCATTGTTTATGAATCCATTAATGTGAATCCTTGTTTTCCCATTATAGAACTCAGACATGGGGCTGGGAAGGTGGTTCAGTGGTAGAGCACTTGCCTTGCGTGCATGAGGCCCTGGGCCTGATTCCTCAGCACCACATAAGCAGAAAAAAAGGCTGGAAGTTACGCTGTGGCTCAAGTGGTAGAGCGCTAGCCTTGAGCTGAAGAGCTGAGGGACAGTGCCCAGGCCCAGAGTTTAGGCCCACGACTGAACCCTCCCTCCCCCCACCCCCCAAAAAAAGAACTCAGACATGTTCACAAAATACACATTTATGTTTACCTCAAATTAAAAGCACAACGTATATGAGTAAAAGAACAGCAAAATCGTGTCTCCAGTTGTTATTTTCTGCATTGGGCCTTTATCAAATTGGCCTTATGTTTAGAGATGATACTTCTATTATGGCATTACTACAACTTTACATTATGAACTTATCAATTCTTAACTAGTTTTGTGTTTGCTCTTTCTGACATTAACATTTCTTAGCTTGCGCATTAAATTTAGGCAATAAATTTCTTAGATAAAAATCTTCTATACTTCTAGGATTGGAGAAGAGTTTAATTTCAGAAATGGCTATAGATGACCTTTGCTTCTAAAAAATGAATGTTTTGCATGTTTATTAAAAATAGTAAGAAATCCAGAAAACTCGAAATAATCTTATTTTTCCTTAACCTTGTCCAGATTTCTTAAAGGATTTGATTTTTTTCTAGGATTTATAAATAATAAAAAATAATGTGTTAAAAATAGACCATTTGGTTTTTTATTTTTTTTATCGTGAAAAGGCATAGAATTTGTTTGGTTTTTCATACTGTGAAATTAGAAACCAACTGTCTCCTAAAGCTTTAAGCTCAAGTTATAAATCTTACCTTATTTGAAGGAATTTTTGTTAAAATTAAAGGTTTCACTTTTACTTGTTCTTAGATTAATTCGTAATACTTTTATATAGCAGACTGAAATTTCTCTAACAATACCCATATTCTTAGAGTTAACTTTCAACCCATATTTAAAGTTTCAGTGTACCTACCTCTTCCTTGCACCTCATTTTACAAGGTTTATTCCTTAAACCTATTGCTGTCAGAATAACTTAAACATTTAAATACTAAAACTTTTGTAAAATCAGGTGTTCTTGCACATTTAATAATCAACTTATAAATGTTGTTGAAGCCTTCTAAGTATCTCTATGATTTATTAATATGACAGACTCCCTTAAATATTTAAAATGTGCAAGCAACAAAACACAAGCTATCCCAAGATTATCAAGCAAATTGTTCCCAATCTAAACAGTAACAGCTTGATTCCTTTCCTTATCAGGTCCACCTTCACCTCACTGAAGGAGCCAGGGGACTTCCCCAGGCAGCCCCCTTGCAGGTCTTCTCAAATTGAGGACTTGTTCCTCACCAGGACCCCCTGAGCCCTCAGAATATATCTCTTACTTTTTCCTGTATCTATAGATTTCAAGTCTTCTTTAGAAACAAATGTTCAATGTAAGTTGACTTCCAACAGCATTCTACTTACATGGTCATTTTAAAAATTCAAACAAAGGAAGAGGCAACAATGATCAATAGGAAATGTACTCATTACCTTGATCATATAACTGTAACCCCTCTGTACAGCATTTTTACAATAAAAAAACGTACAAAAAATTCAGATAGAGCCAGGCACCAGTGGCTCATGCCTGTAATCCTAGGCAGTCAGAGGAGGCTAAGATCTGAGGATCATGGTTCAAAGCCAGCCTGGGCAAGAAAGTCCATGAGACTCTTATCTCCAGTAAACCACTACAAAACCGGAAGTGGTGCTGTGGCTCAAGCAGTAGAGTGCTCGCCTTGAGCTGAACAGTGCAGGGACAGCGCCCAAGCCCAAAGTTCAAGCCCCATGACCGACTAAATAAATAAATTAAATAAATAAGATAGAATTAATGTCATTAAAAAGTCAAACATTTTAAGTATAAACTTAAATATCATGGTATTAATTTTAAATCTTCACTCCCCACTTTCTGTATTTCTTTCCTTCTTTTTACAGAGAAAAAGAGGAGAAGTGTGGAATTGATTCCTCTGACTGCCCGCATGGTGATGGCCCACTTGGTGAACCACCTGGGCCACTACCCCCTCAGTGGAGGCCCAGCCATGCTGCACAGCCTTGTCAGTGAAAACCATGACAATGCCCATGTTGAAGGTGCCGAGCTCTCTTCTGAAGTGTTCAGGAGCCCCAACCTGCAGCTGTTTGTATTCAATGAGAGCACCCTCATATCCTACCTTCAGACTCCATCAGAAGGTCCATCTGGAGCATCACCGGGGGGTGCCCTTTCTGACGTAAGAGTCATCGTGAGAGATATCTCAGGGAAGTACTCTTGGGATGGTAAGGTTTTATATGGACCTTTGGAAGGCTGCTTAGCACCAAGTGGAAAAAATCCCTCATTTCTGATTTCGGGTTGGTGCCATCACACATGTGGACCTCAGAGAGACTTTTCTCAAATTGATGAGGGTGATGATGTCCTCGACAAATTACTTGAAAATATTGGCCATACAAGTCCTGAATGCCTTTTACCATCACAGTTAAATCTAAATGAGCCTTCCCCACCCCCATGTGGAATGAACTATGATCAAGAGAAGGAAATCATTGAAGTCATTTTGCACCAGAGTACACAGGAAGATGAATATGTTCAAAGATGTAACTCTGATTCTGCAATGAAAGTCACCAGCCAAGGGCAACCCTCACCTGTGGAGCCCCGAGGACCCTTTTATTTTTGTAGGCTCTTGCTGGATGACTTGGGAATGAATTCTTGGGACAGAAGGTAATGATACAAGCTTGTCTCTTCAATTAGTATGTCATTATTATTATGTGATTGTTCTTTTTATCCATTTGAGATTAAAGAGAAGTAGAAATTAAGAATTTTCTTGGTTATAATATTCGCAGATTATTTTCAGATTAACTAGATTAAAACTAGAAAGGAAGTTAATTTTGTTGTACTAACATAAAGATTGAATTCCAAATTCCAATTATGTATTTTAAAGAATATCAAGCATTTTCTTTGTGTATTTTATTTTGTTACTTCCTTGTCCATTTTGTCTCTACTTTAATACAAGATTCAAATGGACTACAAAGGTGAATAAATCAATCACTATGTAATCCATATGTGTGATGAGGGAGGTGAACTTGGCACAATTGTGATAGATAAGAGTGACATAATAGGTCAGGAAGAATGACTCAATCCAGTGTAATGAGATTCAGGCATAGAAGAATTGAATTCGAACTGATCTGTGACAGTGGAGTGACATTTTTAAAGACAGAGATAGGGAACAGAGACATAAGCATATGCACATAGGAACATACTCATTACCTATAGAGACATCAGTGCTCCTGGATAGATAGTAATGGGATATAGTGGAATTTTTGAGTTTCCATTCTCCTATGGAGCATAGAATTCATTCTATATTTCTATAACAAATATTTATATTTCTATAACAAATCTTTAGTGGTGCAGTGGATAAATAGGTGATAGGTAGGTCTGTTAATTGAATGATTTTACTGACTGTTAAAGTCATAAATTTGATCTGTGATCATGTGATTCTTTTTCTTCAACCCTTTTTTTTCTTTGTTTTATAGAAAGAATTTTCATCTGTTAAAGAAAAACTCAAAATTATTGAGAGAGCTGAAAAATCTGGATTCCCGTCAGTGGTATGTGAAAGTATATCAAATTACTTTTTTCCTCTTTTTTTAATTTTGAGGTGTGGTTTTAATTGTCCTCTGGTGTTTTTATTTCTTTCAATCAAGTTTTGTTTCTCCCTTTGGTTTTTATTGATTTTTTAAAAATTATTTTATTGTAAAGATGCTGTACAGAGGGGTTACATTTACATGAGTAAGGCAATGAGTACATTTCTTATTGAGCATTATTACCCCTTCCCTTGTTCTCCCACTATTCCTTCCCTCCCCCACTTTCCTTACTCCTTCCCTGCCGAAGTTGTAAAGTTCAATTTCAATATATTGTCTTGTGGGTATCATTGTTGCAATGGGTCATCCTGTGTCTTTGTTTCAGTGTTTTGTTATTCCCCTTCCCCTCCCCAACTTAGAAGAATGTATATACAAGAAGCAGGGCACCAGCATCCAGTACGTGACAACAGAGAATATACCATAGGAGGGAAGAACATACAAAGGAAACAAAAAAAAATCACATAGCACATTAAAAATAACATCAACAAAGAAAGACCTCTTGTGTCCATATGTTGGAGTTCATTTCACTTAGCATCATCTTATATGGTCATATGTACTTAGCTTTTGAACTTTTCTGCTTGTCTCCTAAAATTATCCTAGATGTATACTAATTATTGCAAATGAAGAAAACAATAGGACCTATATTTCTTTTAGTCTGGCTTACTTCATTTAATAGGATTTTTTTCCAAGTCTTTCCATTTCTTAACAAATGGGGCAGTGTCATTCCTTCTGATCGAAGCATAGAATTTATGTGTGTGTGTGTGTGTGTGTGTGTGTGTGTGTGTCTGTGTGCACGCGTGCGCGCGCGCCACATTTTCTTGATTCATTCATCTACTGAGGAACATCTGGGTTGGTTCTGTATCTTAGCTATGGTGAATAATACTGTGATAAACATAATTGTGCTGGTAGCTTTAGTATGGCTTTGTTTGTGATCATTTGGGTAAATGCTCAGAAGTGGGATTGCTAGATCATAGGGGAGCTCTGAAGTATGGAGGTTTTTCTGTCTATCTTGATGTGTGCTTGGGTATAAGATAGAATTGTAGTTGTAGACACATCTTCAGAGACACAAAAAGGTAGTTCTATAACCTACAGTCTAGTGGCATTTGCATAGGCCAGACTTTTGGTTCAGAAAAACTCAAGCTTTCTGAAGCAGTGCTCATCACTAACCTATGCTTTTGACTTGAGGTCAGTGAATTCCACTAACGTATACTTTTGACATGAGTTACTTTTTCTGTGGAGCAGCCAGTAGACATTTGTTCTCATCTACTCTCAAAAAAAGGTTTACCTGATTAAAATGATCAAGTCACCTGTACCCACAGTGTTCCAAACCACATGAGACTTTGTAGTCTGTGCTGTGTACCATGTAATGATATTACTGTAGTCTTGGCTTTCAAAACCATTAATCAAGACTAAGTATAGTCCTCACTACATGACAAATGTATAAGTCTTGAAAACAGTAAACTACTTTTTCAATCTCAATTTTTTTTTGTTGGTCATTGGGCTTGAACTCTGGGCTTGGGCTCTGTCCCTGTGCTCTTGAGCTCAAGGCGAGTGCTCTACCACTTGAGCCACAGCGCCATTTCCAGTTTTCTGGTGGTTACTTGGAAGTAAGAGTCTCACCTGCCCGGGCTGGCTTTGAACCTCAATCCTCAGATCTCAGCCTCCTGAGTAGCTAGGATTACAGGCGTGAGCCAAAGGCGCCCGGCTTTCAATCTTCAGTTTTTATAAAACTCTTTTTCAAAAGAAACTGCATTTAAAATAAAAGACAAAGAACAGAACAAAGCAGCTTTGGGTCCTTTATCTTACTTTTCAGACTCTCTTAGTATTCCATCAACTCTATAAACAGAAATTCAGGTTATTTTCTTCATGCTTGTTTTTCAGCTCTTCCTCAGGTATTTTATTTGTTACATTTTCTTACTCTTTAACTCATAAAATTTTACATATATTTGAGCTTTATGTTTTGAAAGGGTGGTGGAGAAGCAAGGAGGAAGAAAGAAAAATAGCAGAGTACAGCTTTGTCTGGACAGGTCTTCTCTTGGCACTCAGAGAAATAACTAGAGCTCTTCATTTCACTCACTTAAACTCATTTATACACCCTTTTACTCCCATTTTAAGGCACTAGCTTCTCTGACACTACTGTGGTAAGTTATGGCCTGCTAGATAAATAATTTCACTATCATCTGTTTTTAAGTGACTTTCATATGGTCTTGGTTGTTTGTGAGTTCTAGTTAAACCTCAAGTGACACTTGCTTAAACTCTTGTTGTGTGTCATTATTAGTTGTATATCAGGTTCACAACTGTGATTCCTCTTTAGTGATCTGAATTCTTGAACTGACTATGAAAATAACAACTAGTAAACTCTATTTAGACTTTTTTATTTTAAATATATATTTTTATTGTAAAGATACTCAGATCTCAGCCTCCTGAGTAGCTAGGATTATAGGTGTGAGCCACGTGCACCCGGCCACATAGTACATTATAAATACATTAAAAAGAATAACAAGAAAGATAAAATCTCTGTGTCCCTATCTTGGAGTTCATTTCACTTTGTATCATCTTATATGGTCATATGGACATAGCTTTTGACCTCTTCTACTTGTCCTAGACATATACTAGTTATTGCAGATAAGGGAAACCATGGGACCTATGTTTCTTTGGGTCTGGCTTACTTCACTTAATATAATTTTTTTCCAAGTCTTTCCATTTCCTAAGAAATAGGGTGGTGCCATTCTTTCTGATGGAGGTCTAGAATTCTAGTGTGTGTGTGTGTGTGTGTGTGTGTGTGTGTGTGTGTGTGTGTGTATTTACCACATTTTCTTGATCCATTCATCTACTGAGGGACATCTATCTGGGTTGGTTCCATATCTTAGCTATGGTGAATAATGCTGCGATAAACATAGTTGTGCTGGTAGCTTTAGTATGGCCTTGTTTGTGATTGGGTAAATGCCTAAAAGTGGGATTGCTGGGTCATAGGGGAGCTATATGTGTAGTCTTTTGAGGATCCTCCATATTGCTTTCCAAAGTAGTTGAACAAGTTTACGTTCCCACCAACAATGCAGTAGGGTTCCCTTTGGCCACATCTCCTCCAGCATTTGTTGTTATTAGATTTCTTGATTATAGCCATTCTAACTGACAAATCTTCAAAGAAACAACTGCCCGATTAAAAATAAGTGGGCTAAAGACTTAAAGAGAGACTTCTCTGAAGAGGAAATAAGAATGGCCAATAGATACATGAAGAAATGCTCAACTTCTCTAGCCATGAAAGAAATGCAAATCAAAACAATGTTGAAATTCCACCTCCTTGGAATTTTTTATACTGGGAAGATGCTTACTACAAATAATGGTCCTTTTGTCACATCACTAAGGACTAAACAGTAAAATGAAAGAAATTGTGCTTATGCATAGTTGTGTCCTTTTACTCCTTCAGAAAGATCTAAAATTAAGAAGCTTTCATTTTATGTGTGAGAATCAAGAGTATGGATTTTCTTTCTCTCTCCTTCCCCTGCCCTTCTCTTATTCACTTTTCTACCTTCCCCATGTATCTCCTTACCACTCATACATGGCAAAGTATGAACTATTTGTGTACATTTCTTGAATGTTGGAGTATGTCAAGATGGCTGTTCTGAGCCTGACTCCTTCTGTAGAAGATGTTGTGAGGGCCCTTTCTCCTAGGTGACTTTACTACTCTAGAGAGCAATAAGTATTTTAGCATCAAGGAAATTTTGTGTTTGATACACAGAATTAAAAGAAAAGAAATACATAGGATTAAACAATTCATTTATAGTAGTACCTGGGGAAGAAACCATTCTCTGTCAAGATATAGCTCTATTGCCATTTTAAATGTCTTCCTTTCTTGATTTTCTAGTAAAAGATTTGACTCTTAAAAAATACCTTAAACTCATTAGAGATAAAGAACTTGTTCTTTACACACTCTTCATCTGCTTCAGTTTCCTGCATATTGCTATGATTCTTTTTCTCCAGGGGAATGAAGACTGAGTTCTCTGTAGAAATTTGATGAGGGAGTCCTTCTGAAGGACTTAGGGATTCCCTTCTTTCTCCCTCTTGTCCTTCAGTGTTAAGCAAGCAGTCATTTGGTTGCCAACTCAGATTTTCAAGCATGTGCTAAATTATTCCACGCTTCATAGTGCTAAGTGACTATATTGGTATCTTGTAATTGTGGCCAATTTGTTGAATGTTAATGCACTTTAGTTATGTGAGGTACAATTGAATCAGCTCCCTGGGGTGCTGTTGCAGTAAAATATAGCTTTGGGGAATTGATTGGCAATCCTCTGCCCCTTGATTAACCTTCACTTAAAACCCCAGCATCTGGATTTATTGTCTTATTGACATCTAAATGCCTGTGGTAAATGGTATTTTCAAGTTTCTCTTTGAAAAATTTTGAAACTAAGCCTGGGAGTTTCTACTACAAGAACTCTGGACTGTCCTGTAGATTGGTCAGATAGCAGACAAGAACATACTTTGTCCCTCTACTTTCACTTAGAACATTTGTTTGTTTCTGATATTAATTCATGTCACTATTAGCAAAGTATATAGCTTATTCTAAACATAATATTGGGAAAATAGACAATATCTTGTATCTGTGGTCTATATACTGTATATGACCTCTGTACATACAAATCGCAGTGGGCTCTCCTTTTAAATATGAGTGCCTTCTTGCTCCCATGTGGTTAGGTAGATGTTAAAAGAATGCTTTTTTTTTTCAGTTGGTTTTTTTGTTTGTTTGTCTCTTTAAATATGACAACACAGAAAAGCTGAGCTATTTTGGTCTATTCTGAAAAAGAAAGAAAAATTTATTCTATTTGGAATAGGAAAATTGTTGGTTTTATGGTATTTGTGTTCTTGAATTACCTGGTCCTTCATGCATTGGTTGTGCAGCTTATGGATATGAAGTGCTATTGATGTTGTAATTACCATTTCAAAGCCTGCCTCTAATAAGGCCAGACACAGAGTCTGTATCCTAGCAGGCTCTCTGTGGTACTAACATTTTGGAGGATGTGAAATTTGATGAATGTTTACAACTAAAGGTCACCTTTCCTCACACCCACATCAGTCAGTCCTCCATCATTCAGTCTTAGTTCTTTGTGCTTCTGTATTGAGTTAATGAGGACTCAAGGACCAATGAACAGTTGTGTTAAAAAAAAAAAAGGCTAGACTTGGAGAATAAGCAGACATTTCAGATAAAGCTGATATTGTTTTTATGTATTCCAGATCTATAAAACTGAGAATAATTAAATGCTAAGAGATTTTAAATATGTAGCGATAGCTACAGAAAGAAATTGAGTATTTTTTCTCCTTTTCTTCAGTCTTTTAGGTCAAAAGTCAGTGTATCATTCAAGCCTCCAAATTATTCATAGTTGTTAGGAATGAGCTAGTATGATTCTAAGTGCTTCTTGTCAGTGTCACTAGGGTAGTAAATAATAAGGCAATTTCACTACACTGTATTCTGTAATGACAAGTTTTCTGCCTTCTGGTGAGTGCTCATGCCTTGTCTGCTGGTGTCCATGATGCCCCACCTTCCTGGTAATAGCAGAATAGTATGTATCAAATGTCTGAAAAATGATCAGGATCTGTTTCTATGTATTTATTTTAAGGACATATTAAAGATCCTGTGGGGAAAATTATAAAGATTAGAGATTATTTTAAAGATATATTAAAGATAATATGAAAGTGTCATTTTAAAAAGAATCAAATAGGCTAGGCACCAGTGATTCATACTTGTAATTGTAGCATCGCAAAAGGCTGAGATATCAGGATCACAGTTCAAAGCCAAGCTGGGCAGGAAAGTCTGTGAGATTCTTATATCAAATTAACCACCAGAGAGCCAGAAGTGTACATTTGTAAAACAGAATATAGTCACATTTAATATGATATATTTTTGTGCAAAATACATCATAAAGTGGCAATAACTATGTTCTTTGTTTTAATGTTAAAATTCTAAGTGTTTTTTAAATTAGTCTTTTTCTTTCCTATATTTTCTAATTTTTCTTCCAAGTGTTATTATTATATGAAGACATATGGGGAAAACAAATAGTTTTCTAGATGAATAGGAGAGAACCTCTCCAGTTTTTATATAACTTTTTAGTTGAACTTCAGTTTGTCTTCCTTACTAAATAGAAAAACAATTAATGAAGAAGTAAACATTAGAGTTTGTTAAAATATGGAGCCAAGATCTACCAAAGTAATTGTCTAATCAGATTATAATGTTGAGATATTAAGTAATTAAGTAATATTAGACAATAGAAACATTTCTGTATTGTTGTAGCACTTAGTATTTTCTGTGAGATTTCTCAGAATGTAATACAAGAAGAGTATAACTGCTCTAGAACTGGTAATCTGATTTTCTTTTGTTAAATATTGACTAGTAAAACTCATAGACAATAGGACTATGGATGCGGAATTCTTGAATAAGGGTCTGTTTGAAGTAGAACCATGTTCTCATCTCTAAACTATCATCAAATTACATGATAAGGGTTGGTTCATCTAATTTGTAGAAGCTGCTTATTAAGACACTAAAATATACCATTATATATCTGATCAGTCTAACATAGATTTAGTTGAAGCAATTTATGCTACAAGTACAAAAGAAATTTTCATGTCAGGGTCCCTTTCTTCAAAGTATCATGTTTACTTGCTTTAATAAGTAAATTACCTAAGTATATAAATTTCCCATAATCCATCATGGAGCATGCCACTATAAAAGGTTTATATGGCCAAGTGAGGTTTCTTTGGATAGCTGTCCACCTAATCAAACACGCTCAGTAAAAGCAGAGCACAGGATTGTATACCCTTTGGCAAAGAAAATACTCAGATATCCTCTGCTTGAAAGAAATTTTTATTTCTCATAAAGTCTTGGCATATCTCTTACAGTTTTAATTGAGGAAATACCAGTATCTTCTTCTGAAAGTATGTTATAGATCTACTCCCAATTCATATCTGTTTGAAATTCTTTACAAGACAGTGCTGTTTATAATAAGTGGGGTGTTCTGACAGGTTGTTTAGTGTATGTTTTGTCTGTGTGTGAGCTTTCAGGAACTAGACTGCCTTCTGTGGGTCCCAGTCTTCTCTGCTTGCTGTGTGTGTTTCTTATTTAATTTTCTGTACACGATTTTAGCCATCCTTCCAAGGCAGGTGATGATAATAGTACTTGTCTTTAGTTGTGGAGAATAAATGAGATTGTTTATCAAATCATCTTACAGCAGTGAGCAACTCTACGAAGTTCCAGTAAATGTGAGCTTAATAGTAGACATCATGTTGATGATAGAAGTAAAATAAAACTTTATATAGAGAATTGTAATTCATTTAAATTTAAACTTTTACAGTCGCGAGACGCACAAAATTGCAGTATTTTACATTGCTGAAGGTCAAGAAGACAAGTGTTCAATCCTGTCCAATGAAAGAGGAAGCCAAGCATATGAAGACTTTGTTGCTGGTCTTGGATGGGAGGTAATTAATTTCATTCAGTAGCTGTTTATCAACCAGCAGTATTTACAGATATGTATAGGATGGGTAATGTTCAAAAATTGAAGAATGTATTGAACTTTGTATCTTCTGTATTCAGTAGTTATCTTCATTATTTTGCATGTGAATGTTTGTCTCCCCTTAATATTTTTTCATTTGTTTTGTAACAGAACTGAATACTAATGTGAATTTATCAAGCCACATACAGTTTGTATAGAGAATACAAAAGTGGGCTGAGGAGCAATGGTTTTGCCACAAAATGGAGACCGGAGAAGAAAGCAATAACTTGATAAGTGAAAGATTAAGAAAGAGTTGGATGAAGTCAGAAGTTGACCTGAAATACAATATAGTAGCTATGATCGTTTAGCTATCATCCCATTTTCCTAACATACATTTCCAAGACATTTTAATAGTTGATATTTTAAATTTTTAGGTTCTTTTCCTTTACTAAATACTAAACTGATATATAGACATGTATGCACATAAACACATACCTGCCTCCTAGGAATAGAGATAGGTAGGTAGATAGATAGATAGATAGATAGATAGATAGATAGATAGATAGATAGATAGATAGATATCCACAGAATCTGTAAAGGATTCAAAGTAGTCAAAAATGCAAATTAAAATACCTATTATAATTTTTCTTGTTATTAGTTATATATGCTAAGGAGAAACCCTCAAGTTGTGCTTATGCACAATTTGCCTGCAAGGAGCTTGCTGTAAAGATAAGGACAGGGAAAGAGTACATCAAGATCAAAAGCATATGTTTTCAAAAAAGTCCAAGTAGGCTTTTTGTTTTTTGTTTTTGCCTTGTGTATCTGTGTGTGCATGGAAACATGTTTGCTCACATGTGGATACCAGTCTGGAGGCTTACACTTGAGGCCAGACACTGTCCCTGCTTTTGTATTCAAAGCTAGAGCTCTACCATTTGAGCCACAGCTCCACTTCCAGGTTCTTTTAGGTGGTTAATTGGCAATAAGAGTCTCATAGATGTTACAGCTTTGGGGTGGTGGCAAGGTGGTGGGGGAGGGGGGAGGGATAGTGAGAGAAAAATGGAGTGGGTAACAATGTTCAACAAGAATGGACTCATTACCTTATTCATGTAACTGTAACCTCTCTGTACAGCAACTTTACAATAAACTAAAATATTTAAAATAAAAAATAAAAAAAGAATCTCATGGATTTTCTAGACTGGCTTTGAACTGTGATCCTTAGATCTCAGCCTCCTGAATTGCTAGAATTACAGGCATGAGCTACCAGCTTCCAAGTAGGTTTGATTCTAAGAGCTATTGTACTTCTGTTAAATCAAAATATTCTTCAACTTTTTTGTTGTTGTTGTTGTTGGTCCTGGGGCTTGAACTCAGGGCCTGAGCATTATCCCTGAGATTTTTTTTGGGGGGGTCCGGTCATGCGGCCTGAACTCTGGGCCTGGGTGCTGTCCCTCAGCTCTTTGGCTCAAGGCTAGCACTCTACCACTTGAGCCACAGTGCCACTTCCAGCTTTTTTTCTTTTTAGCCTATGTGGTGCTGAGGAATCGAACCCAGGGCCTCATGCATGCAAGGCAAGTGCTCTACCACTGAGCCACCTTCCCAGCCCCCCTAAGATTTTTTGCTAAAGGCTAGTGCTCTATCATTTGAGCCGTACCTGTACGTCCTGCTTTTTTGGTAGTTAATTTGAGATGTGAGTCTCACAGACTATTTTGCCTGGACTGGCTTCAAACTATGATTCTCAGATTTTAGACTCCTAAGTAGTTAGGATTATAGGAACAAGCCACCAGCTCCTTTTTTTATTTGCCATAGAATATATTTATTATTTGACATATTTTTGGCTATGTTTTTAAACTATACTTTCTTAATTAGAATTTGAGAAAAACTAGAACATTAATTCAGAGTGTACATTGATTGGATATGGCACAGGAGAGATTTTTGTAATTCATGTGTGTTAAAATAGGTGCTTTACCAGAAGAAAAAATACGAGAAATTATATTTAGATTGAGCAACTAAGAAGTAAATATGTACGTCATACTTTAAAATGAATTGCCTCATACTTGGAGATTGTACAAACTGGAACAACCCTTTTGATGGCACTTTAGGGATGACTGCTAAACTGTGTAACATTTGTACCCTTAATGATTAGTTAATGAGGTTTGTTTGTTTGCTATGCTAGGGATCAAACCCAGGGCCTTGTACATGCTAGGCAAGTACTTCACCACTGAGCCACACTAAGCTAACCCTTAAAAAATTGATAGTTACTTTCTTTAGTTAGAATTACAGAACAATTTCACTTTTGCATTCTTTTTATTCTTTATTTCTGTAAAATGTTAACCTTGTCTAGCCTTGTATATTTGTTTATAATCAGAAAAAATATATTGAAATGAAAATGATTTGTTCTTTTTCTAAATTTACACTCCTTCTAATGAGTGAGAACAGCTCAGGATTGACCCCTACTCTTTTTCTTATATGTGCCCTTCATCAGGTGGATCTCTCAACCCATTGTGGATTCATGGGTGGCCTTCAACGCAATGGCAGCACAGGGCAGACTGCTCCTTACTATGCTACCTCCACTGTGGAAGTGATTTTCCACGTTTCCACTCGGATGCCATCAGACTCAGATGATTCACTTACCAAAAAGGTAAAGTGCCTCCTTGGGGACATACAAAGCTCCCAAGAAGATAGGTAGGATTCACTGACACTGAATAAATACCAGGTCCAATGAACACTGAGGTTTCTTTCCTCTGGACTCTTCTTTTGGTGGTGGTGGTGGTGGTCATCATTGTGGAGCTTGAACTCCGAGCCTGGGCACTGTCCTTTAGCATTTTTACTCAAGGCTAGCAATCTACCACTTTGAGCTATAGCTCCACTTCCAGTTTTTGATTGGAAATAAGAGTTTCTCTGGGTCTTTTCTGCCTGGGCTGAATTTGAACAGTGATCCTCAGATCTCAGCTTCCTGAGTAGCTAGGATTACAGGTGTGAACCACCAGCACCCAGCTCTCTGGATTAGGATACAGTTGTGGTGAATATAAAATACTATCTTGGACAAATTTAGGTTCTGAGATTAAGAGCTGGGAAAAAGGATCTTCTCTAGTAATATGTGACAGAAAATAATGTTTTTACCTCACAGATTGATGATGACCACAGTGTATAATAGCCTATATCATAAAACTACTCATGGAGCTCTGGGAAGCATTCCTTCCCAGGTTTGCTGGAAGTGAGTTGAGAGCATCTACCAAAATGACAGCTTCAGATGTGCTGCTGTCCCAACTTTGCTGCTCACTCTTTTATTCTTCTTTAGCTTTGGCCCTGCTGGGCATTTTTCCCTGAACTTGAAAAGATACCTTGTTCCCTGGGTGCAGTGCCCTCAAGGAAGTGGCTTTGTACTTCACAGCCTGCTGCATGTTCACTTCAGGAGATCCTGTGTTGGGGGGTCAGAATTACCTTACTAAAAGAGAAGTTTAGTCTGGAAAATAAGCCACACCTCAAGTTTCCAGATGAGTTAGAAAGTCCCAGTGCAATTATGTTTTATACTCATCTGACCTATGAGCTTGAGATAGAGCCTGGAATCCCAACTTCATACCCATTTTCCTCTAACACAGATTAGAGGAACTGAGTGATGATGTGGTTAGAGCCAGGCCCTGAAGATAGACAAACCTGTGATCAAGTGTATGTCCAGTTATTTCAACAGATAGTCCCTCAGTTTCTCATCTATTAAATAAGATAAAAATGCGTCCCATGTCACAGTGTAAATGATTTACGCAAAATTGCTTAGTATTGTGCCTGGTAAGATCGCTCCAACCATCTGCCCCTGTTAATGTCCATTGGTCTAATTGATTCTTGTTTTTAACCATTGCCAATTATCAGCCAGGTGATAACTCATGGACAACACTGTCTTTTTAGTGTGGTTTTGTTTTTTCACTCCACTGTAGCTATAGACATTTGGACTATGTAAACAGTAGGCAACAGTGCATGTGAGACATCAGAACTTCCGTCACAACTCTGTCACAGACAATTTTCATAGTGATCAAGTGTTTCAGATATATAAAACGTAATTTGCATTCAGAAACTCAGCAGCCTTCTACCTGCATAGCCCAGCATGGTACACTGGGTTCCCTGGGAAAAGGAACTCCACAGCAAGAGATGTTAGCCAGGTACTGGTTTCTACTGGCATTAGAGGAGCTGCTTCTCTGTCTTGGGTTCTGATGGCTTCCTCTGGCTGCCAAGGTCTTAGAAATCAGGACCTTGTCCTTCATTAGTGTCTCAGAGCCTAACATGATTTATGGATTTCTCAAGCGAGCCTCACACATTTTTTAAATGTGTAAATTTTTACAATTCTGCAGATGTGTCACCATATTTTATGATTTTCTTATGGCATATAACTATATTGTTAAAAGATCTCTGTGGAAAATATTTAAGTATTGCTAAGTAAATCAGATTTTTTTTCATTTTGGGTTTTTTTTTAAGACATGTTGTTTTTTTTGATAAAAAGCCGTGTTATAAATAATGTTCTAAGACTTGGCCTGGTTGAAAGATTCCCCACTGTCATAATCAAAATTCAACTGATACCTTTTGCAGTTCTGAGATTTAGCATCATTAGTGATAAACTCTCCTTATCAGGATGTCTCACAGCTAGACTAAAATTCAGACACAGTAACAGCAGCCCACAGTTCCTTGTCTTATTCTAAATAAATTGTCTCTAACAGCTTAAAAAATGAGCTGCAAAATTCTAAAGTGATTCATGTTCTTTTCTGCCCCTGTCATGGGGGGACTTTTTCAATTCTGCAATCTGGTTGCAACCCCATTCTGAACTCTTGATCCTTCACTGCAGAAATTTGTTAGCTCTAGCTAGATTAGATTTTTCACAGCTAATCTAACTGCTGTAGGGGTTTGCAGAGTGGGGACAGAGCTGTGCTATTGGATTTGTCCAATTCATTTGACTCCAGGACTATAATTGCACTTATGTCTTACAAGGCTTTTATAGCCTCAGGCTAGCTAGCCGCATAAAAAACAAATTGGCAGTGATACAGTACGAGTGAAAAGGGATGAAAGGCCCACATTATCAGTCTCCAGGCAGGGCTGTTCTGGCAGGAAGTTTCTTGGTTAATTTACAAATAAAACTTAGATTTTAGGATGGGCAGACTGTCAGCTAAACAATGGGGATGTCAGGCCTGACTGTTACTTAGTAAAAGTAGCAGCCGGGCCCACTGAGGAGCAGGAATTCTTCAATCAAACAGACGACTCCTTTTGGAGCCAGCTGGCGATGTAATGCAATTAGTTGGGAAAGGAGGTCAGCCTATTAGGTGTGGACCATGACCAGTGTCACCAGTGGCGTGCAGCCTGGCAGCAGCAGGCAGAATTGCTTGAGCATAGGGACTTTAGAATTCTGTTAGGACATGAAGTAGAGTTGATTTCTTGAGACTTCAGTGAACATCCTATTTGGAAGAAGAAGCAAAGCTGACAGGAATGCCAGCTCCATTCCAGGGCAAGACTCACCAGTCTATTCCCAGAGGCACATGCCTTAGATCAACTTGACTCATGTGCCCTAAACAAACCCACCAGTGGGTTTCTAATTTGAAGGCATTACATCAAAATTCTCAGACAAAGTCAAATCTCTATACTGAAATCTCTTTAAGTTCCCAGAGTATTTTGGCATGATAAACAGATTGTCCAGATCAATTTTGTTGTACGAAGAAGAGGATGCAGTTTTTTCTTCTTTGCTTTAAACATATCAGTGAATTTGTCCTATAGCCTTAACTCAGTTTTATCATTTAGCTAATCAAAAGTGCAGTGTGTCCAGAAGTTGGGGGATCATGACATTCAAGACAGCTACACAAAGCTCAGTGGTAGAATTGTTGCCTAACATGTATGAAGCCCTGGGATTCATCTCCAGTAAAACACATACACATGCTACATTCACATGCACAGTTTTTAAAAGATAGAGATTCTTCTCATCCAAAGATCATTCAAATACTATAAAAAACATGAAAGTTCATTTTGAAATACCCATTGTACCATTCTAATCAAAAGCAAAGTTTGTATGCCCTAGAAGATTTTGGTCATTGTTTATGTGGGTGTGCATAAATAAATGTATAATATGTAATATATATATATATATGTTTTCATTTTGTGTAGATATCTACACAAAAATAGGTCTTCCTTAATTACAGAATCAGTACACTGGAAAGGAGAGTCTATTAATGTGATACTGCTCTCTCTTGCTGTACTTGTGAGAATAGGTTATATAATATATGATTGAATAACCCAATTTAGAAAGGAGAGAATAACTGAAAAATTTCAGTATCACTGTACCACTTCAGAGATAATGCTTTCATCTGATATTTGTGCATCAAAGGAACCTATTTTACAGGTGTTGGGTGCTGACATCAGGTGGTAGAAGCACATGTAAGCAGCATTTGGTAGGTTCCCATTTGAATGTACCAGCAATTATAACAAGGGGCCCTGAACTCTTCAGAATGAGAGTTGTAGGTTTGAGCTCTAGGACGAGACCGATTCTCACTACTTGATATTGGTCTAAGTTCTTTCTAGGGTTTCAGTTGGGTATTATCCACATTCCCTTTGAAAAGCTGTCTGACTGTGGAGTTAGTTTCTACAAAAAGATAGAATTGTAGGACTATTGTAAGGTCCTTGCATGTTTTATTAAAATGGAAAAGATAGGAATAGGGACAGAGCAGAGTTTAGAAGTACTTGCTTAACATATACAAGGCCCTCAGTTTTATCCCTACCACTGAAGAAAAGAAGGAAAGGGGAAGGAGAAGAGAAAGGAAAGGACAAAATAGTATACAAGGAAATGTTCAGCACTGCTATGAAATACCATTGTCTTTTTTTTCTCTCTTTGTGTATTTAATTGGCTATATCTTTTGCTTGCTACACAATATATTGTACAGTATAGTATTTATATGTTGGATGGTGAGGGAGAAAAAAGATAACACTAGGTAATTTTTGCATTTGGAAAGTTGTCAATTCCATTAAATTGTTCTGGTTCATCATGACTTGTGCTCAGCTCCTGTAATTGCACTTGTCCTAGAGCCCATATTCAAATATAATTGAATTGTGCACCCTCAGTATAGGTACAAAGGTACAGGTGCAAGTCTCTTTTTAAATAACTGACTTGTACAGTCAGTACAAGTAGGAGAGAGTGAAGAATAAGCAGGCCTTGCAACAAACAACTTTCTTTGTAACCTAATAAATAGAAAAGAGGCCATGTTGGGGGTGACTGGATATTTTTTCTTTGTGGAAAATCTGTAATCTGTCAAAGAAAATAGTATTTATGCTACCATGTTTTAAATATGCAGTATTCCTGAGAATTCTTTTTTAATTCTTTCAAACTTAACTAAAACATTAGGTTTGATACAACATTTCTATTTTGCTAAGGTGCTTTTTAATTTGATCTGGGGGTGTGTGTGTGTGTGTGTGTGTCGGTCAGGGGGCCTGAACTCTGGGCCTGGGCACTGTCCCTCAGCTCTTCAGCTCAAGGCTAGCACTCTACCACTTGAACCACAGCGCCACTTCTGGCTTTTTCTGCTTATGTAGTACTGAGGAATCAAACCTAGGGCCTCATGCATGCAAGGCAAACTCTACCACTGAGCCACCTTCCCAGCCATAATTTGATCTATTTTTTAAATTTCATCTGTTAAATAAGCAAGGAAGCAAGAAAGACATTTTTTAAATTTTTATTTCATTGTAAAGATGCTGTACAGAGGGGTTACAGTTACATGAGTGAGGCAATGAGTACATTACTTGACCATTGTTACCCCTTCCCTGTTGTTGTCCCACTATCCCTTCCCTCCCCCCACTCCCACACCCATCCCCACCTCCCTCCCCCCCCCACCCGAAGTTGTAAAGTTTGTTTCCAATATACTGTCCTGTGGGTATTGTTGTTGCATTGGGTCATCCTGTTTCCTTGTTTCAGTGCAAACAAGGCCATACTAAAGCTACCAGCACAACTGTGTTTATTGCAGCATTATTCACCATAGCTAACTATGGTACCAACCCAGATGCCCCTCAGTAGATAAGTGGATCAAGAAAATGTGGTATATATACACAATGGAATTCTATGCCTCCATCAGAAAGAATGACATTGCCCCATTTGTTAGGAAATGGAAAGACTTGGAAAAAATCATATTAAGTGAAGTAAGCCAGTCCCAAAGAAATTTAGGTCCCATGGTTTCCCTTATTTGCAATAATTAGTATACATATAGAATTATCTTATCAGATGAGCTGAAAAGCTCAAAAGCTATGTACATATGTCCATATAAAATGATGCTAAGTGAAATGAACCTCAAGATATGGACACAAGAGGTCTATATTTGTTGTTATTGTTTTAAATGTACTATGTGATTTTTTTTGTTTCCTTTGTATGTTCTTCCCCCATGGTATAACCCCTGTTGTCACTATACTTGATTTTGGTACCCTGCATCTTGTATATACATTTATCTAATCTGGGGAGGGGAAGGGGAATAACAAAACGAAGAAAAGACTTTTTTAAGGTGGTAGATAGCAACCTTCTGCTGCTAGATGCAGAGACAGAAACTCACATTCCAAGTAGGCATCAAAGGCTTTTACCAGTCAGCATTTTTTAATCTATACAGTCTGTTCAAATCCTCCTTTTAGACTTCTAAACTGATTTCACATGCAGCTTTCTCTAGTGAAGTTATCATACAGGAGGTTTATCAAGGTTGTTCTTGCAAGTGTCACAGCTTGGCCCTGAAAGAACTCTCACAAAGTTCTTCCTGAAATCTTTCTGCTAAGGCCTCCTTAAAAAGGACCGTGAGTCTATAATTTGTTTTTTGGAGTTTAAAGCCTCTCTATGTATACAATTATTAAAAAAAAACAAATGAACAAGTAGGCTAAGATCCTTGTGCCGTTACAATAAACCAACTTTGATATAGGCTTAGATAGTTGTGGAATAGTAAAAATAGCATTGAACCAATGCATCAGTCCATGTTCCTAGCCTACCTGGCTTCAAGAGTGTTCATGTGGGCTTGGGGAGGCATAGCAGCTTTCACCTTCCTGAGCACTTATTTCCTCATTGTAAGGTGAGATGAAGATAGCATAGGATATCTCAGGGTGTTTTGGGGAAGATTAAACAGGATGATATATGAAACACATTGGTGCTCTTAAAGAACTTTGTTTTTCTTTTCTTTTTTTTGTTAGTCATGGGGCTTGAACTCTCTGGGCCTAGGGTACTGTCTCTATGCTCTTCAGCTAAAGGAGAGCACTCTACTGCTTGAACCACAGCACCATTTCTGGCTTTCTAGTGGTTTATTGGAGATAAGAGTCTCACGGACTTAAATGCCCGGGCTGACTTTGAACCATGATCCTCAGATCTCAGCCTCCTGAGTAGCTAGGACTAGAGGCATGAGCCACCAGTGCCCCACTTTTACAGAATTTTTTTTTTTTGGTCAGTCTTGGGGCTTGAACTCTAGTCCTGGGCACTGTCCCTGAGCTCTTCAGCTCAAGGCTAGAGCTCTACCACTTGAGCCACAGTGCCACTTCCAGCCTTTTCTGTTTATGTGGTGCTGAGGAATCAAACCCAGGGCCTCATGCATGTGAGGCAAGCACTCTTACCACTGAGCCACCTTCCCAGCCCCCTCTTACAGAACTTTTAAATTTACCATTTAATTTAAAATTTAAAATGTCAGATACTAGAATTCCTACCAAATTATATATCTATTTTTCCTAAGTTAGTGTAATTTTATACATTTGCTTTTAAAATGTTTATCCAAAGACTTAATTACTTACACATTTATTAACATTTCTGTTATAATGGTTTATGTTGACTTATATTCTGCTTAATATCCACTGAGTTAAGAGGCTTAAAGTACTAATATAGCATAAAAATAATCTTGACACTAATTTTTAGAGCCATGCTCATCAAAACAAAGCATATGATTCTGACATAGAAGAAAAACCCATTAAGGAAATAAAAGAGACCTTGAAAAGTCGGTGCCTCATTCAACTAGAATGTCCTTAATACTTGGAATTATGAGCTTAGCACCAAATGTACCTCATAGATGAAGAATGTATTTTTATGGAATTGTGCTTTTTAAAGTTCTCATAAAGGCATCCATGTTGTACCCTACTTTGGGAATAAAATACTTTTTCCTCTGAGTTTTATAATTCAATTTGTAAACCATGACCCCTTATAAACTGCTGTTATCACCTTGATTAATAAAGAGCCAATTTTCTGTTGCAGCTCCGTCACTTGGGGAATGATGAGGTCCACATCGTCTGGTCTGAACACTCCAGGGACTACCGCAGGGGTATTATCCCAACTGCCTTTGGAGACGTTTCAATCATTATTTACCCAATGAAGAATCACATGTTCTTTATTGCAATAACGAAGAAACCTGAGGTATGTTTTCTACAGCATTGGCCAACCAATTCACAGTTATTGAAACCAATAATTTGAATTCAAGGAAACTCTTCCAAGTGATGAATATCTTACATAAATATCCAAATATGTATGTGTCACTATGTAAGAATGCAGTGTGAACTAGAATTTTAATCATGAGCATAAAATTCCATATTGTATTCTTGGCCCCTTTGAAGATTTGTCAGAGAAACTTATGATTTAAAATTTTTTAAGCTTTCAAAATGTAATGTTTGAAATATTTTAATTTTAAAAATGGGGCACATTGATTTAGTAAAAGTTGAAAGACCTCTTTATTATACTAGCATTTGGGGGATATCTGTGGGTATAGAACCCAAAATTGTCTGAGGATAGGCATTGAACTTATCAGCCTCTGACCAGTACTAAAAGAGGTCAGAACTGAAGGATTTTGAGCATATCCACGAAGAGACTGTGCCGTTAAAGCACAGCCAACATGATGGGTATTAACAATCAAAGCACCTTGCCACAGAATCAATTCAGTTATGTCAATTGGTATTGATCATGGGACTGGCTAGAACAATCCAATAGTCTATGCCCTGTGTACCAGCTGCTGTTTTCCATACTTGTCATGCCTTTAGTGATGTCTTGACAATACTTTATGTAGTAACTTACTTTTGTTTTGAACTTCTTATGAAGAAGTTCTTATGAACTCTTTTTTTCCCTTTTTTTGGCCTGGGGCTTGAACTCAGGGCCTGGGCACTGTCTCTGAGCTTCTTTTTACTCAAGGCTAGCACTCTACCACTTGAGCCACAGCATCACTTCCAGCTTTTTCTGTTTATGTGCTACTGAGGAATCGAACCCAGGGCTTCATGCATGCAAGACAAGCACTCTACCTAAGCCACATTCCCAGCCTCTTTATGAACTCTTATGAAGAGTTTTTTAATTAAATATTTAGAGTATTAAGGCACTCTTCAAGTGGTTTTCAGTCTACTATTAAATGTAACCTTTATTTTCATTCCAACGTGTTCTGAAGGAGATGAACATTACCATATTTTTCTTTTCCATATATATTTTTATGGTAAAAATACTGTACAGAGGGGTTACAGTCACATGAGTAGGGTAATGAATACACTTCCTATCAAGCATTGTTACCTCCTCCTTTGTTTTTCGCCTATCATCCCCTGCCTCCCCACCTCCCAAACTCCTCCCCCACCCCAGAAATTGTAAAGTTCTTGTACATTGCATTGTTACAATTGTTACAATGGGTCAACCTATATCCTTATTTAAGCATTTAGTTATATCCCTTTCCCTCTCCAAATTATAAAAATGTATATACAAGATGGAGGACATGGGAATCAGATAGTGAAAACAGGAGTTATACTGTGGGGGAAGAACATACAAAAGAAACAAGAGAATCACGTAGTGCATTATAAGTACAACAATACCATTTTTAAACTTTTTTAAAATTTAAAATAATAGGCCACTGAGATTTATATTCAAATTGAGATTTATAATAATATTATTAATAATAGTAATAACCTGTGATAATGGGGTAATAAGTGAAAAGGCGCTTCAAATATTTCCTGACCCAGAATGAAAGGTATTTTAGCATTAGCTAGTATTATTATTATTGATATAGTATTTTTTCTATAGTTACTGTCATAGAAATAAATAATGAATGCCAAGTTTAGCATACATTTTTTCTTTTATAAAACTAGATAGATGGGAGTCCTAAATCCAGGAAATTTAATATCTGATGCAAAAGAATAAGGCTCTCCTATTGATAGGGTGAAGATGCCAAAACTTCATATCAAATATTTATCTCTTATTCAGCCCTTAGTGTATGTAAAGTGTTCCAATTTTGTACCATAAGGAAAGGATTAGTGCTAACATTGTCTACTCTTTGTATTTGTATTGCCTTAATTTTTTAAATTAAACTGAGAATTTTAATATTAGAAAACCAATAAATTTATTCTCTTTTACCTCTCAAAACTAGAAAATCTGTTTCTTTAGTGTTTAGTGTGGATTAGCTGGCTTTATTAATTCATTTTCAACTTAGTCTTTTAAAATGCCATTTAATGTCTTAAAAATGTCACATTTATTGTTGAAGTAAATAAAGAACATGAAGAACCTTTCAGTTCATTTTGTAGTCTCAAAAATGATGTTTAAAATAGTAACAAAAGATGCATAAAAGTGCTATCATTTTTAATTTACCTTTAAAAATTTTATTCAAAATGTGTAAGTTTGATAATTTGGCCATGAAATCTGACAAGAGGAATTGAGCAAGTTGCTTTCTTAATATTTTAATTCAAAAAGACTAAAGGGAAGAAGAAAATAATGGGCAACTAGAAATTTAGTGTTATTCCTACATTTAAAGTACAAACCATTACAGTGTAATAAAATTAATCCAGACATTTCCAGGGCAAGTGTGGCTGACCTTTTGTTCACCAACCACTGACCCCAGGGTGAATGCAAGAGCCTTTTGGAGGGAAAGTCTGTTTGTTTGGCTTCAGTCCCTGGTATTTAAATTGCATTCCCTAATCAAATGAAAAGGCTGTCCTCTCTATCAGGTTACAGAATCCATGGCAACATTTGGCCTTTTATATCCATAATGTTAGCCTTTTTGTTTGCATCTAAGTAGAGACACCTGGAGCAATGTTAACATTAACCGCTTTAGCATTAATAGCTTCATTATATAAGAATTTCTGATCAGATAGCTGTTACTTTTGTTATATTGCCTCAGCTTGTATTGTTGTCATTTTTTATCTCCCTGCTTGGCAACCAGGCAATGATTTGCAAATTTTTTTGTCTTGATTAATTAAGCAATATAATTATCAGTAACCGTGATGCAGTCTTTGCTCAACAAAGCTTCTGAGAGAAAACAATGGTAAGTCTGTTAGTGTGAATGCATTCCACGCGTCCCAGATGCATGAGGATATTATGGACAATGAGGGGGAAGGCCGCCTGTGAGCGAGGACAAAGGGTGCCACGCAGACTCGACACAGTGCACATACCGCCAGGGACATGCTGCAGGCTCCCTGGGACACAGACGCCTCGTTAGATTACAGCTAGTCAGCAGAGATTAATTCTCAGCCATTTGGTGCAATAATTTACCCATTCCCCAGTCTTATAACTAGTGTTCCTTACTATAAAAGTGAAGGGCCTAGAATCAAAAGGTTTGTTTAGCCTTGTCTACTTTTAGGAATTGTCACCAAAAATCATTATCTTTTAATTTTGTAAATTGTAATGATGCAGTTGCTTTAAGGTGACAGATATTAGAAGACCAGGATTTGCGTAAATTTCAGAAATTGTGGAGAGAGTCAAGGACATTTTAGCACCTGTATGTTTCATATGAATGTAGTATGACTCTGTGGTCTAAATACATTTGCTTTACTGATCTTTGGGCAACCATACTTCACTAAGAATAATTTTAATCCTTTTTTAGGAGGAAAAAAAACACTCATCAGTACACAAAAAGTCCTGCTCATTGGATAGAGTCATGCATATTCAAATTGTACTTTCATTCAGTTGGCCTCATTAATAGCGTATGTAATAATGTAGGGCTATTTGTAAAACAAGCTCACAGGCAGCATTGCTTCCAAGTCCTTTGAAATTTAACATATTTCGCTTTTTCATTCCATACACCTCCCTTAAATATACAAATTATGTGCCTGGCAGAATCCGCCTCCTCTTAATAATACACAGCATTTGTGAAATAGTATGTGGAAGGAGTGTGCATGTGCTTGTGTGCCTACATAAAAACCTCACTTCTTGAGCATTGTATTGAACTTTTGTTTCTTTTTGAATTAAATTTTTAAATGTGCTTCTCAGGATCATTTAATTGTTAAGTTTCTTTTGAAATAAGCCCATCTCCATAAATACTGACACAATAGTCCTTTGGTCATAGAAATGAAATATATTATCAGTAGGGGTGATGTTTTTGTCCTATTTTTATCACCAAGTCAGCTATCCAGAAAAGACTTGCATGTAAGGCAGAGCGTGAGTGACTTTATGGAGTTGGTGAAAACAACCTATTTGTTCGTTAGTAAAGTGATTCAGAAAGCCTCCACACTACAGTGAATTCCCATGTTGCTTTCCCTGTCTTCAATGACTAGAAAGTCATGGAAGTTCGCAGTATTTGCCGGCTTATTGGTGAATATCAGTTTTAATGCTTGGAACATATTAATCTCCAAGCACATTAGTGACTGAATGGTAACCATTTGACTAACAAGTTTGTTCTGAAGTAGCTTTCAGCACAAGCTGTTAAGACTAGAGGAAGTTTTGTGACAGGTTTCCTATCATTGTTTCAACCAGACTGTTACTGTTAGAAATATAAAACATTTACATCCTCCAAACTCTACTTAGTTTACCCCAATAGATATGGGTATGGGAGAAAAACTGATGATGACTCAGTCATTTCTTAGGAATATGAAGAAGGAAAGTGTAATAGGATAGAAGATGAGACCCCAATGATCTAGTTCCAAGGCTGCCACAAGGGAGTAGGTATCTTAAGCAGGTATCTCAAATTCTTTGGACCTTAGGTTCCTCAACTATAAAATTTGGCCTCTCTGCAGTCCTTTCAAGATTTGTAAATGATTCCATTAAATCCTTTGTCCTATATGCCCATACTTTCCTTCATTTGCCCTGACCAATACTCTGGTGACAGTCAAAATGATAGCTAATTCTCTTACAGCTTTATCAACATGAGTGAGTGAGTGAGTGAGTGAGTGTGTGTGTGTGAGAGAGAGAGAGAGAGAGAGAGAGACAGACAGACAGACAGACAGAACCTGTATACATATATGTTTGGGTGTGTATTGCTCTCTAGGATGACACCTAGATTTGGACCTTTCCCTGAACCAAGTTGCCTAAAAAACACTGGCAAAAGGCTGTTAGGCCAAAAGCCACCAGATCTTTTGCACAGATGAGACCAAGGGAAGCCATCTTGGTACCTGTGTTTGAAAGGAAAGGCTTTAAGCTTGTTAGAGTGGCCTCATTACATAAAGTGTATCTTTTACTTTGAA